CTTGTGATGACGTGGACCGTCTCCTCGTACCTCCGTCTGGTAAACAAACACGTGATACGAATCAGTTATTACCGCTACATTCAGCGTGGCGGTGCTGGATGTTTTGGAGGCCTTTCGGGCCCCCGTTTTTGATCTTTTATAGGCGTCAAACTCAAATCCATAACTCACACCGTGGAGCTTGGGCCTGTGTTTGAATAGGGTTGTGTATAATATAGGAATAAGGTTGTGCTCTAAATTCGGTAGGCCTGCACCACGCAGCACCGCAGAGGGCGAACGGGTCCTGTTGTGCCGGCCAAGCTGTGGCGAGGAGACGGCGGCTAACGTCCATCAGCAAACCGACCAACCGGACGCCGGGAAATGGTGGAGGAAGAGGAGAAGGTCGGCGGTTAGTGTGACGGAGCGGTTGGAGGGTTCATCCGGGGCTGTTAAAGTCAACAAAGGGACCCGCCAGAGAGCCCATTGGTTAGCGAGCGCGCAGCCTGCGGGAAGAGGCGGCAAAGTTTTTTGGCGGGTAGCGAAGACCAACGAGTGATGCGCCGGTGGTCCGTGATAGAAGCCTGGACTGAGCACACTGTTCTGTCTCTGCGGGGGCGGTGGTTGACGGCGACCAAACCGTGGTGGATTTTGGCCCCGGCGGCCTCCTGCTCGAAGGTTTCCCCGATTCTGTGACTGTGAAAAGATAGAGACCTCCTACGAGGAGGCAGCAGACTTTGAAGCCGCATGAAGAGAGAGTTGATGTAAGAAGTTCCATTGGGCTTACTGACTCCTTTTCAGACCGGGCTCATGTGCCACAGGTTTGCTTTGGTTGAAATTGAATAATGCCTCATGTGTGTCCAAAAAGCTGCGTTTCAGTGGTAGCTGGTTGATATCCAGGTTTGACAAAACTAAAGCAAAAAGGGCTTTTTCAAGCCTCTCAAACAAGCAGATTAGAGCGTGACTCACGCTCGTTACTTCCAAGAGCTGAAGGTCTGATAACATGTCAGCCAGTATACGAGTTTAAATATTTATATATATGTGATACACAATCACGTGAATGATTTAGATTTTTTTTATTGCTCGGAGCCCAAATTTACAGGAACCAACAGGACAAACCACAAAGGTTTAAAGGAGAATGGAAAAAATTATTCATCTTTTTCTAAAGTTACAGAAAAATACCGTTTAATTAGGACAGTGGGTGAAAGGTGGCCCCAGCGTCCGAGTGCAACCGCACACCGCTTCTCTGACTAAAGTTTCCCGTGTTGATGCTCTCTGTGCGCCCAGATGTTGCGACCGATGTCACAACAGGCTGAAGAGTTACACGAAGCTCCGTGCAGCAGCTGGGAGGACGAGTGGTCTGAAAAACACTCTGACCGGTTTACCGCCTCTGAGCTCCCTCTGCACAGCTGGTGTGAGTTGTAGTGACACCTTCCTGATGGATGTTGGCGAAATGGACCCGAGGAAACCCAACGTTTGAAGACGGGACCTACTTTGTTTGTTTGATCCTTTTGTCATCATGACTAAATACATTTGATTAGGATCAATTCATTGTTGAGTTTTGCTGTTTGGACGGGATTTGTCGACAGCGAGGCGGTGCCTCAATGGTCCTTCGGGATAAGAGGGACCGGATTCGTTTATCTGACCTTTGGGTCCCCGCTGTCCAAATACGATGGGACAAGAGAAGGACGGGCTGTCTGAGAGCAGGTTTCCGTCCTCGGGGTGTCAGAGCAGCTGGGCGCCAGACCTCCGCCAGCTGGGGAAACCTTCTGGAAAGACTGACGGCTCACCGCGGCGCGGAGCGCTGCCCTGCGGCGAGGCCTCCCTCACAAATCAAAATTTCCACAAGATGGAAAGAAAAAAAAAAAAAAGTGGAGGCAGCCGGCTGGAGACAAACTAAACAAGCACTAGTCGTGGAGAACGAGGCGTACATCTGCGTCCCGGGGAAGCTGGTGCAACGCGTTGCTGCACCTTGTCCAGCCGCCTCCAGCCTCCCCCCCCCTTGTCAGCGCGAGCGTGGTGGAGGATACTGTGTTATGAAAGTGTGTGCGCTCATAACACTGCGCCTATTCATGCCGTCTGTTCATCAATCAGCATTCAGAGAATAGAAGCACAACTGTTTGGATTCCGGGCGCCAAAATATGAAACCGAGTCGCTTTTAAATGCCCAAGCGTGGAAAGAGTCTTCAAAGTAAAGTCACTGAAATATTGTACTTATGATTAAGTATTACTTTATGGTTCAGAGGCAACCAGAGCTACACACTGTTTTTTACTTTGGATGCTTCTACATGAAGTCACTTTATATGTTTTAATAACACTGTAAATGTACTTAGGAACGTTGTGTAACATTTAAGTTTAGAACATTTCTAATTGTTTTTTGGCTGAAAATAGGAAGTTTGTTTGTTAAACCTCACTGCTAGTAGTCCCCCACGTTTGAAGGGTTGCTTCAAAGGGTTCATATTCCAACTTGTTATAGGAATTACTGTGCTGCTCTTGAAACAGGAACTTGTTCCGAGTCAAAGTTTGCTTTTTGAACGTGATGTTAACCGATAACCAACTTAACAAATACTGAGTTAAGTGAGTTGTGAATGACGCTGATGTAAAATGCATTTATTTTACACTGGTTACCATCAACAATTACAACGCTACAAACAGACACATCACGACCTGTAGACTCCGTCAGCTGCTTCCTGTTCATGTGGAACACACACACACACACACACACACACACACTAACTATGACACCTTCGTCACACATTAGAAGGAAAGGACTTCACACACTACACTTTTTTTATATTTCGTCTGTCTGGTCGCTGGCAGTCTGAGCGGCTTTAATGGGGCTCGGTCCTCCCGGCGTTTGTTCACGTGCCGTTTTTATGGAGGGAAACGTCTCCAGTGGCGGCCCTTCATTTCTCCACAGGCGAGCAGACCACAAACTTCCTGGAAAAGGCCTTGTGGCAGATTCGCTGGGCACAGCGGCCGGAGCAGGAGGGCATCAGATGACTTTAAAACGCAAACACATACCATCTGGCATTTAAGGAAGGTTAAAGTGTCTTATGGAGTACATGAATTGGGATATAACCTCCAATAAGCAGGTACCTCATTTTAACTTGATTCTTTTTTTTCTTCTAAAGGAACCAAATTGAAAGTGAAATCACAATGTGGAAACGCAAATACGGTGAGAGTCTGCAGCTACTGACAGTAAATATACGGTCATTGTTTTGTGTCCATCCACTTCCCCTTCATCCCTCTTTGTCACATCAACAGGTCACACAATATTTAGTGAGGTGTGGGGGGAAAAAAATAAAACAAAACTCAATCCCTATTGCAGAAGTCTGTTTTGTTTGTTTAACGTGAGCGAGTCCAGAAGTATCGAGATGAATTATGATCGTCTTACATTGTTGGAAAAGTGATGTGTTTTCAGGAACATTAGCTTGAAGCAGACTAAACACACGCGCTGGCCTGCCACACACACACACACACACACACACACACACACACACACACACTGAAGTGGTGGGCACTACTGGCAAGCCTCTCATTTAACTAGCAGAAATAAACAGTGTAATTATTAAAGGTGGAACGGGATTGGGTAATATATCCAAAGATGTGCATCAATATTGGCACAAGAAATTAATGAGGTCACGAGCAAATCAATGAATGAAACCTGTGTATTTCATTAAAAAAAAATTTTTTTAAAAGATTCCATCCCAGTTGGCGATTAAACATAAATCCTCAGCTGCGTTTACGTTAGGAGTTTATTGTAGTGACTCAACAGGTGGAGTTATTAAAAGTGATAAACTACAACAAGCTATAAACACGGGGAGAAGAAACAACACACACATCCTAGAGGGATTTATGTGAAGTTTCAAATGAATCAGATAAACCAGGAGTGAACGCAGACTCCCAGGATCCGTACGTGCGTTTTTAGGCTGCAGAGTTTAGGACTCGTTTCCTCCAGGTATGAAACATTAGACGTCGCCCCCTGCTGGACGGATTACACTGCTGTTGCTGCAAAACTATCAAGTAGAGGCCTGAAAAGTACAGCGAAGGAGGAAAACACAAATGTGATGCAAGAAAAAAACATCTAAGAGAAAAATAATTAAATTGTGATAACCTCCCGTACGCGCTAAATAATCCCAAAAGATTTAGTGAAGATTCATTAGAGATTTAAATTCCAAATTATCTGCCTGTACGATGTCTGCATTGAAAGACATTCATTGAGTGTTCAACGGGTCGTTTCTCTGCAAACGGATTTCTAGTTGACCCCGAACGTATTCGAATGACCACGATCCGGATTCTTAGAATCTGTGACTGTGTTAATGTGGTCAGCAGCATGTAGAAAGGCGAAGGTCAAATTGCATACGATGGCCAATGAATACAATGTGAATGTGGAGGTCGGACCTCAAAACGAGTATTTTACGCACTTCATTCTAACCGTATTACCATAAATTGGATAATTATCAAGTTTTGCAAAAAAGAAAAACAAAAGGGGACCAACTCTAATTCCTTTAATTGACGATGGCTGAACTGCCACGTTGCCTCTTAAACCCACGATTAAGACCGGGGCCGTGGATTGGCCTCTTTTGAAAAAGGGAAACTGAATTTTTGTCTTGAATTCTCTTGTGCCATTTTCTGTACTTATACTAATTACTGCATTCCTTCCTCGGTAGTAAAAGCCAAAATCGATGTACATGTGCTGTTTGGGTCTCGGTGCAGATAGTTCAGAATATTAATTAAAATGAAAATACATAGTAATGAAAAAAGAAAAACAACAACATTGGAATGCAGTTAAAAGTGTCGAAGTGTCCCTGAGCAAGACGCCCAACGCCTAAATGCTCCCCGGGCAACATGTAAAAACCATCAGTTCAAAATGCAATGCAAGTTGCTTTGGATAAATGACCTGTAATGTAATAAGGCACCGTTGTAGCAGATCAGATGCCTGTAATGACTTTAATGAAGCCATATCAGACAAAGTGGTCCAAATTCTCTGAGACAAATCAAAATTTTAAAAAAGCATCACCACTCTGTGATAAATCCTCAGTCCATTTGTATTGAAGCGCTTGCATTTTACAGGTACAATATGCAGTACATGTATACAGACAGCCAATATAAAATGCGTTAAAATGATCATAGGTTATGAATTAAAGCTTAGATATTGATTCAAGTACCACTAACTTTATACTTCAGTTCCATGAAGTCAAAGTCGTCTGTACAAAATGTACAAGAACTGCATCCCACACTGCATTTGTCAAAGGTTTCCCACTCGTAAAAATGTGACTTTAACTCATCAAATGAAACGTCAGTGATGCTACAACTCCTGAATATAATAATGTGTAATAAGAATAACTCTGAACATACCTGTACTGTATGTTTGGTGTTTTATGGAACACTACAGTATCAACACTAAGTATCAAAATCACTTCCAAAAGAAGCTGACTGTCATTTGCATTCATAACATTATACTATACATATAATTATAATTATTTGCCTGCAGGACGGAGTATTTTAAAGTGCGCGGTAAGTCAGTTCACTTTAAGAGTAAAGCCGAGGCCTTTGGTCCGATCTAAATCTAAACCGCTCCCCGTGTCAGAACCCATTATAAGAGCAGCACATCCGGCTCATTCATTAAAATAATGCTGCGTTATGTTGACCGTATTTAGGGGGCGTTTCTTTTTTTCATTTATAGATTTAGCCTAAGGATGAGGCTAAATCTATAAATTAAGAATAATCTCAACAAGACTGCACTTGTTCAGAGTTCTCACTATAGTTTCAGACAGTACTGACATGCAATATTTATATGTTGTAAAAAAACAATGTAGCACCTAAAAAGCTAAATTACAGACACATGAATAACATGTTTACTTTCATAATAACTGTACATTGATTGAAATGTCAAAGCTTTATCATCAAAACTGGTAAACATCCGTGGCGATTTAAGAAGAGATTTGTGCAAAGAAGTAAAAGTACATTGTTGTGTATTTACTGCTGAGAGTTCACTGAAGGAAAACTTCCATAGAAAAAAAGAGGCCTACGATCAAGAAAATCCTATAGAGATTTTTTCAAATGTATTATTTAGCAGTCTGTCCTGCACCTACTTCCTAACAACTCAAGATACAGCACACACCTTCTTAAATATAGTTATAAAAGAATAATTGACTTAATGGAAGGTCTCTCTGAGAGGCCTCGCTGGTTCTGTTCGTCAGGGTCGTTGGGCATCGTACTGCTGGTAGCGGTTCAGCTTGTCCGGGTCGTTGGAGGCCATCTGGGTGAAATCCTGGAAAATGTCCTGGTAGGTTTCGTCTCCTAGAAGAGAAACAAGAACACAAGATGTCAACAACAACAAAGATTAAAAAAAAAAGGTCAGAGAAATGGTGTCCGACATCTAAACACAAGGCCACATATGGTCGTCGTATAGAACATTCAACGTGGATCTTGTTGCTTGAAGTGTAGCTCTCAGATGAGCTCAATAATAAAATATAAATCATGTCATTACGACCTCGTCATTGGTTGTTCATGCACAGTGCCTGTTCTCCCCCCCCAAGCAAGTGAAGCCATTTGCTTGTTTTAAGAGCAATGACTTGCTGCCAGTTTTTTTATATTGATTTCTATTAATCTGGCACAACAACATTGTCCCGTCTTCTCCTGCGCGATTTAACACCCTTTGTTTGCACCCACGTTAGAAATAAATCTAACTTCTACTCTCGACTTCATTCTTTGGTTGTTCCATTTGTTTCAACTCTGAAGGGGACGTAAGAGGAACAGAATCAGAGCAAGAATGAAAAGAAGAAGAAGAAGTCGGCCATACCTGTCAGGTGTGTCGGCACGGCTCGAAATATGAAAATAATGCAGAAAAGATGGGAAAGAGCAGAAAAGAGGCAAAAGGCAAGAGAGCTTTCATCAATCAGCCGGTGGAGACGGACTCAGAAAGAAAAGACAAGCTCAAGATTTGTTTGTCAACAACTGTATTGTTTTTAAAGTGCAGGAGTTTATGTACAAAAATACAGTTGTGTTGGCCTCAGCACCCCAAAGAAAATATGAAAAACAGAAGAAAGGCACAGAACTCTGGGGAGGAGGGGAGGAGAATGCAGAACCAAGAGAGAATTTACAGAAGGAAGAAAAGTGGAGTGCAAAAAGAAGAGTTGTAGCTCCTGTGGAAGAGGCGCCGTGATTCTCAATCTGTTTGAGTTACAAGGTGAAAATGTTCCTTTTCAGGTTTATAAACAATTTCTAGAAGATAACTATTGATCAAAAGGAGACATTTAAAATATATTTTCTTATAATTGTCGTTAAATTTTAAAAATATACAATCCCGCCGGACGTTTATTAAATATTCCAAAAACGATTATACAGAGCAACCGGCAGGCTGAGGACCACCACTTCTTCCACACTCAGCCGGGTAGAAACACTAAGACTGGGTCTAATAAATAGGGGGCGCGTGGGTTGATGACGTTAGTTCTCCTTCATTAGGCCTGAATATCCTTCGTCAGCTGATTGGAGGCGCTGATGAAGAAGCCCTCGAGTTTCAAAGAGGACGGCAACAACACAAACCCTCTTGTAAAGCGAAACCACACGCGGCTCACACAGTCAATGGGAGCACGCACTTTGGAGCTCCTTCTGCTTCTCCAGACAAACATCCTCCTGTTCAACGCGTCTGCTGTCGACCTTTGAGGCCACGACATCCAGCAGCGGTTTCTGTGCCAGTCGCCATCACTAAGCGTTGCATAACGTTAGAAAGATACTTTTTCTTTGTCATCAGGTCCAGAGCAAAAACATGACACGGGGAGAACATTCTACTTTGAAGAAAAGCGAGGCAGCATTCAGGCTAACAGCAGCCGTGCTGCCTGAAGCAGCACATCAAGCCGTCAGTATTCGACGCTTTAATCCTCTCCCATTAAAGGAACGCACACCTCCCCCCTGTGGTCAACACGCGCCAGTGCATCGGCGTCGCTCTGCCCCGATAACGGGCATGAAACTGGGGCACACCTCAATCCCGAATTCCACTTTCACGTCGGTTCATCCTCTTTTTCATGAAGCCCCCTTATGATTAAGATAAATATAAAAGGTAGGGCCAGCAAGTGACATGGATATACACACGTTACATGTGGACATTTATCTAGACTATTGCACTATATTTGAGTAAAAACCCACTAACCCGTCGATACAATCAATGCAATGGCACAAACAGGCCTTCATCGTCTTACAATTCTGGATTTCCTCTGACTACGGTCAACGAGCAAGCACACTATCCACTAATAGACAAGACACAGTCATAACAAGTACATAGCGTTCAATCAGAAGAGAAAAGTAGGGCAGTTATCACAGAGACCCTCGTGACATTCACCCCCGTGCAGTCAGAGTCGATCTCAACTCCGCTTATTCGGTCCGACTATGAAGAAATACACGTATGCATCATTTACAACACGTACAGTAATGATACTTATTACATGGCTCCTACAATAATGTTTAGAAAACCCAAAATGTTCTTAATTATACTTTTTCTTCTGACCGTGTCATAAAAGTAAGATGTTTTACATGGAGACACCAAACTGTTGTCCCCATGTAAAACAACAATAAGTAAACAGGCCGCCCAAAAAAAGGTTAAGACTCAATTTGGGAGCCATAAATTTGCAGGACAAAGTACAATAGTTGCATGGACATTAATGGGAATTCTGACAGATAATTTTAAAATCAAACTGTTTATAAACACACTACTATTCTAAGTCATGATTATTGCCCAATAGTGAAACTGCCCTCACCTTGAGGTCACTGGATAATTCTGGCAGTTACTGGTTAACTATTTATTTTCGCACACAGACAACACTAATCAAAAAATTAAATATATTCCTGCACAAAAATATATATTATTATCTGCTATAAATCCCTGAATACCTGTTCAATAGAGGGAATCAGCAAGGATTTATCATTTAAACTTAAAGAAAGGAATTGCAGATCTAGTAAAAACTGAGTTTCTTTTATTTTGTGCTTTCTATAAATCTGCATTAGTAACAGTCACTTTGATGAAAACATGGGGGGAATTTTGGGGGGAAAAATAGCTCTTTAGAAATGCCCAGAGTCGATGGCTTTGACCGCGCACATCGATACTGCATTGCATCGCGGCGCATCGGGGAGGGGGGGGGGGGGCAGCCGGCCCAGGAGCTGGCAGGAGGCGGGACCTCGCAGCACAGCGGGGACACGGCAGAACACCCGACCGAGTTGGGCTCGGTTCTCGCTAACCGACGGATCCAGTTTCACTTCGACCTGGGAGCCCTTCATTTACAAAAAAAGCTACCTCCAATTTGTAACCAGACGTTATTGACTTGATTTTTTTGGGTGTTAATTTGCAGTTTTTTAGACAACCGAGCCCAACTCGGCAACCTGGGCTTTACTTTTCCTCTGATAAACACACTTTTACTGAGAGCCCAGCACTATTTATGTTTCGTCCAGCTGCAGGCTGATAAACTCCTGCATGCAAGTCCTGTACTGCATCTCGGTGGGGCTGTTGGTGCTATATTGACCTGACTGGCTGTAGGGCCCCTCCGCCTCTCGCATTTCTTCGTTCATCTTGGCCAATCGCAACCTGGGGCGCGGGCGAAAAAAACAGGAAGTGACGGATGAGTCATAGTTAAGCGATACAATGGTTAATCACACTCTTACTCAATTCAAATCGAAAAGGTTAAGACACATTACCATTACAACTAACGCGCTGACTTTCTAAATACCGTTGAATTTAGAACAGGCAGTTACAGTGCCACTGAAGCAATTAGCCATACAAAGTACCACTATCCGAGGTCAGTGTTTTCTTGAATTGTGGTTGCATGTAGAGGACAGCTGTGCTGCTCAGCGGTTTGCGGAACGTCAGACAAACGCTCACAGAAAACAACAACATTAACACAAAGAAAATACAGGAATAGAACGAGAACAACACTCACAGTGTGACGATGTCTGCGTTGGCTGCATCCACCGCTATTATCAGGGGGGTTTTCTCATCGATGTCTGCAGCATTTTGATTAGCTCCTCTTTTTAGGAATAAACACACTTGCCTAAAACAGAGAAAGTTTCAGCATCTTTGAGTCAACTCGATAACCTGCGTTGTTTCACAAATCTTCAAAATGACAGATTCCAATGTTCTCTGAGTTAAAGTTTAGTGAGGGAGTGAGGTGTGTAGGACAAACCCTGTGTGTCCCAGCATGGTGGCGTGGTGGAGGGGTCCTCGGCCCTGAGCGTCCTGCTGGTTCACGTTGGCCGCGTTTTGGAGCAGAAACTCACAGGTGACCAGCGAACCCTGAGGGGAATCATTTCAACAATCAACACGTTACGTAACTCTACAACTCACGTAAAACGTGAGTGCTGTCCTTATCTAAAAGGGAAGGGGGGTGGGATTATTTGGGCGCTCACCCCCTGGACCGCCATGATCAGCGGCGTCCTCTTGTCGTCCTCCGCGTTGACCCAGTTGACCACGGCGCCGTGGGCCAGTGCCTCCGCCATGTCGGGCAGGCTGCGGGCACACGCAGCCCAGTAGAGCTGCAGGCCCGAGCTGTACTCCTTCGGCTCGTAGAAAACCACCTGCTTGCACGGGGACGGAGGAGGCAGCGTGGCGGGCATCGCCATGGGGGGAGACTCGGCGGCATCTGGAACGCGGGAGAAAAGAATCGACTTTAGTCAACCAAATGCTCATTTAAATCTATTTTCAAGTTCCTACTAATTGCAAACTTTTCCAGGCTGGTGAATTTTCTCATGTTCCTTAAAAAGGTTTTCCACACTGGCCTTCCTTGACTTAACTAACGTTAAGACTTAGATTCAAATATGCAGGGATGTCTATGTAATGACGGAGGTTTGTGTCTCACCTGCATCTGTCAGGCTAGTATTGGAGGCAGTGGTGGCCAGCATCTCCCTGCTCCCATCAGCGCTGTTCTGGATGCCGCTGTCTTTACTTTTTACTGCAAGAGGAAGTGGCATGAATCACGACTTGTAGAACCACGCAGAGGTGTCATTCACTGCGTGTGTAAAATAAAAGGAACACCTTCCTGCTGATGCTTTTCAGATCGCCCCTCAGTAAACCTTTCGATAAATAGTGGAATTACAAGAAACAGCAGGTGGTCCTAATATTTTGTACAGTAAGTGACTCCCCGACAGAAATCAGTAGAAAGAGCTGGAGGATAGATCCCCACCATCACCTCGTTTCAGGTCCCTAAACATGTGATGAGACAAATACAAATGCAAATACCAGACACTGACCCAAACCACGTGAGAGAGAGAGAAACACTCCCCAGCCCCCAGAGAAACTAAACATCTGCAATTCTCTTAAAATGATGTGATGGTCCATTCAGACGGTCTGGATGAAGGAGTAATAGAGCAGTGGGTGAAGGGTCGTTAGTCCAAATATCCCAAGCGGGGCAAACTAGAGGACAGCGGGGATGGAGAAGCAAGCCAAACACTGAGCGTTGAGGTACTTACTGCTCCTGAGCTTGGCAGAGTTGTCAAAGTAGGAGAAGAGTGAGTGAAGCTCGTCGGGACAGAAGAGAGAGTCGCGGCGGGCCTCCATGCCGCTGGCAACAGCTACGTTAGGGATAATGGGAGTTTGGGGATGGAAAGGCGGAGGGTGTAAATTGAGGTGCGGGGAGTTAAAAGGGGAGGCAGTCAGAGCAGGGGTTAGTCCGAAAGCACACAACACGAAAGGAGAGAAGAAATCTTGAGGCAGAGGAGAGAGAGAAAGAGCGAGAGATAAAGGGAGGAGGGCGGGGGGGGGGTAACAGCAGAGATAGTTAAGACTACCGGCTCGGACTACAAAAAGCAATAGGAGGCAATGGGGGCCGAGGCACGTGCTGTTCACAAGGAACATAAAGTATGCCGATGGGTGGACGCTTCTCCACGATTGTGCTTAAATCACAGAGCATATAAGACAGGAAAGAAAAGAAAGGTGGCAATGCAAATCACAAATGACAGACTGTGCCATCTTGATGAAGTGCAGTTTGACTTCTGAAGCAGCACACAGTGCATAACAGAAACATCCAACCTCACATCCAATTATTCTGCATCAAAAGGCCTAATTATTGGAATTAGAAAATAAATGCAGCCTCCGCCATTCTTTCCAATCGACACTCCGCCAAGAGACCCGCCCTCCTCTGACTGGTTTGTTTTCAATCAAACCAACGATGGCAGCGAGTATTACCCAATCAGGGGCAGTATAGGGCGCGTCTCCACAGAATTCGGGTGGGATTATTTGCATGGGATGCTGCATTGACGACAACTCGGAAAATACGGGACAAACCTCGTCCTGTATTGATTCAAAACAGGACGCGCTATTTTATTCTCAAATACGGGACGATTCCGTATTATTTTTGGTTTTAGCAGCTTGTTGGTCTTACATTCGCCCAGAATGAAATCCAGTGTAATCTTTTAGTGGGTATTATTTAGAGTTAATGTCAGATCGGGTCAGAACCTTTGAATGAGGTTTGTCGTTACTTTGTTCATTACGTCCAGCTACGAGTGAAAGGTTACAGTGAACAAACCCTCAGGTCGCAGAGTGAATGTAAATCTCTCTACTGACCTGACTGACCGGGTCGGAGTTTCGGCGTGGGCGGCGGAGGCCTCGGGGGCAGATGCTCCGAGCTGCTGCTCAGCCTCTTCTCCTGTTTGCTCAGAGAAACCACTTTGTCGCGCAGCTCCTCGCCTGTGGGCCGGCGCACAAAGCGCCGGTCCACGTATTTGGCTTTGATGTAGGCCTCTACCTCGTGTCTGGTAAGAATCAGAGGGCACTTGGTTTGAGAATAAGGTCAGATTGTCAAACCAGTACTCAAACCACAGCTGGTACACTTTGTGTACCTTGGATCTCCTGGTTGTGGCTTTCTGGATCCCAGCTCCTCCCGCCGAGCCTCGTAGATCTGATTGATCACTCCGTTCCCAAGTTCGCACATCAACTGTGAAAGGTTCAATAAAAAAATACATTTAAAGTAATTTGTTATCGGCGCTCAGTTCATAGTTAGACTTTAACTGTGGGTGTGTGTATATTTGTTTACCTTGAGAAGTTCTGGCTCCCAGGTATCTAGGGTCAAAGACCGGACCTTAGAGAAGTGCACTCCCAGACTCCTGCAGGTCGAAGGAGTATTACAATAAATCAGAGGCATTGTTCATCGCCCTTTGCTTAGAGAGACCGATAATGCTGGAAACGTACAGTATATCACGTTAGTTATACTTTTCAACACACAGAGTGTAGATTTGGGTTCTGCAGGTTTATGGGTCTGGCAGAACAACAAAAACCCTGTATGTACCAAAGAAGGTTGTTCTTAGATAAATATGCAGTACTATTGTTAGCTCTATGCCTTTGTTTTTAATATACATGTTTATACTAAAATAACCTACTGATGGGACCAGAGATTTATGGAGGCCACAAACAAGGTAATTTAAAGAAATGTAAAAACTATACATTTTATAAAAATTATAATTCGGTAAATTTCTGAAACTTTGGTTAGAAAATAACAATGAAGATCATTTTTTAGGATGTAGTGAGGCTGAATCCCTTGATAATTTTGTGTTAATTAAAATGTGGCCGGAATGTTGATTAAATACTTTACCGTGGAAACAAAAGGTTGTCATAACATTTCAGGCTGGCTGTTCGTAGCAGAGTTTACATTTCATGAATCCCTAAATCCCAACAGTTTGTACAAACCATTGAAAAGCAGACATGCAATGGCCGCTTATAGTAATTTCCGGTTTCCTTGGAACAAAATGAACTCAAGTGGTAGATAAATAAAAAATGAGCTGATATTTGTTACCTCGGTTCATTAGTTTCCAAAAGGTTCATCCTTTCTGGAATAAACCACTTTACGTTTCACAGAATCTAAATAAGTTGTTATTTTAAGACAGTTTCTTCCTTGGTGATATTCATTTTTTTTTTGTGTGTCGATCTCTCGGCAGCCTTAACGTTAAAAGACCGACCCAAGGTCTGACTTTACAACAAAAACATTTCCCTCTACCTGTGGATACCGGAGCACTGTATGCAGAGGGTGATGCCCAGATTGATGCTGGCCCAGCGCGGGTCAGGCTGACCACAGTCGCAGCAGCAGGTGTTGCCCGGGATGACCAGGACCTTCTGCAGGGCGCTCTCTCCTTTGATTGACCTCTCCTTCGGCTCCCCAGCCGAGTCAAGGCTCCCCGTCGACGTGGACGACTTCCTGTCAAGCTTCTGGCATGGCAGAGACAGACATCCACATGGACCATAAGTATCTATTAATATGGGATAGGCTGATGTTAAACAATGACATGTGGGGGAGGTGGGGGACTAAATGTAAAGTATGGGGGACACACTCAAACACTGGTTAATTAATTTTTCCACAAATAATCTATGTATCAATATACTTAACTAAAGTACCACCCACTCAGTACATGTTGGTGTGTTTTGGTTCTTACGTCTCCGTCGTCTCCCTTGTCGCGGAAGGCGGTGGCGATGCTGTTCTGGACGGCTTTGATCCAGGCCTGTCGCAGCTTCTCCGAGTCGGCCTGCATCATGCAGCTCCTGCTGGCACAGACCAGCGTCACACAACTGCCGTCTGCTAGTTTGGGGGACGGCGCTTATTAGACCAGCGGGGACTTAAACCTACTTGGTGGGGGACACCACTTCGAAACAGAAGCGCCGCTCTACGTCCTCGCAGTGTTTGACGGTACAGAGCCGCAGGTCTTCCACCACCACTGTTGGGTTGTCCTGTGCAGACAGCAGAGCATCTTTAGTTGAAACACAATTAGCGCACACACACTCTCTGGCAATGTTAAAAAGAAATTAACAAATTAAGCGCCACAAATAGCAAAATATAAAATGTATCCAAATATTTCTATCAATCAAAAACACTTCAAGTGTTGATGTCATTGACAATATCTGATACGGTTTGTTTTTTTCAAGACAATCGTGCAGATATTGTTTCCATACGGTGGCCTTAAAATCAGGGTAAAATATTTGACTTCGGTACGAGTCCCACAATAACATTTTCTTCAGTGTTACACATACAACTAAATACTGTATCTTAGTACACTTCTTCACATACAGCTTGGGTCCATTCTACACTAAAGTCAAACACATGCATATTGTATTCCGTGCAGGGAGTCACTTGACATACCTTAAATTTCTTCTGATAAACTAGCTGATTGTTCTGGATGGAGAACCAACGCCTGAAAGAAAAACCATAGTCACATGCAGCCACTAGTGATACTAAAATAACACGCTTTGACATCGTTCTAGTGTGGATGAGAGCGATGGCAATGTTCAGATACAGCAACAATACACAGTTTGTGTTAATATTCCCCTTTAAACAAAACTATGCAGGCGTCCAAAAGCATTATACCTTATGGGTCAACCTTTAAAAGGTGACTGCGGTATGATTTCCAGGAAGTGCAGAAATTCTATCAAAAATAGTTTTAAAGTCATTTCTGCGGCACCAGAATTTAAAGCAGCTTTGATATCTCTATTCAACGTTTTGAGGACAGGGCTTGGCCTTCTGAATACAGAATCAGTGCACTATAATGAAGCAAATCGTTGTCATAAAATTTGATTACAAATGTATTCCGATTGAATTGTGTCTTTTGTACCTATTCCACGTCTTAAAGGCATTGCTGGCCCTCTTAAACAGATAACCCTCCATTGCGATGCCGTGCTCGGCATCCACATTGTACTCCAGCTTGGTGTCGTCATTCGAGAAGTCCTGGACAAAAAGACAGAAAGAGCCACTGTGGTCAATTACCCTCAACAGAGCAGCACTGAGAACGGGGGTTAAAAATACATACAAACCATGTAATGAAATAGGCCAATGTTACGCCACTTTACTTTTTCTCGGAAGTTGATGTGACAAACGGTAGTGAAAAGGGTAATAACGATAATCATTATAGTTTCAGGGTTAAGAGTCATATACTCAGTGGTTTGACGAATAGACCCACGTAGTAAACCAAGAGGCAACAAATCCCCCAAAGTGTGAAAACACTGGACAATGACAGACTTTAATTAATTAGGTATTCAGATATAACTGTTGCCAATCTCGTCTTAACTAGCAGAGCTGCTTCCACTTTAACATCCTCCAAGCGTGACATTGAACACCATGATTCATTTGTGTGCGTGTGTGTGTTCTCGAGCAATAAGATTACCAAGTGTCACCATTTCCACAACCAGTCACAACTAAGAATCAACACACACACACATTTTTTTTTTACCAAATATCTTTTGACTTGTTATGACCATATATTTTTTTCCCAATGACATTTTTGGACATTACATAATTTCCCCTTTTTTCATTTTGAACCAAATGTATTTTTAAATTTTTTCCCCATGACATAGTTTGACCAATCATTTTTTGTTGTTCTTGACATTTAGAGTCATTAGACTCACCTTTTCCACTACCTCTAAAACCAATTACATACAGATTAAAAGTGTAGTAGACTAATTTAAATGAGCTCCAATCTTGAGAGCAGAATAATTAGTAATATGTCAACACTAATAACCGTTTGCTCAGCATAGATGACCGTTATCAGGTAATGACAATAACTAATACTTCCTATTCACTAACCTGTAGAACATCCATGCTGATCATATATGCAACAAGTGGAAAATCTATATTTCTCAGAGGAAAACTATAAAATGCTGACTGCATTCCATCTTTGTTCTAGATGTTACCCTTTACAATGTTATATTTTCAAGTGCCTTCTTTTCATTTTTTTATACAAAGACTACTTGATTGGAATTCAGGATGACGCCATTGTCCAATGTACATACAGGCAGGTGCTTGTGATTATAGATCCGATCCAACAACAAACCGTGTGTGTCTGGGAGGTTGCTCATGACCTGTAGCTCATGACGGCACAGAGTCTCATGGCTTGGATCTGTAAACGTAACCTGAGCTAAGTTAAACCCCTCTGCCCTATGATACCATGGTGTATCAGATAGATGCGCACGCGCACACACACACACACACACACACACACACACACACACACAGTTTTCCAGCATGACATACACCAGGACAACTGAGGTTATTTCGGGTGCACAAGGGGAACAAACTGTCTGTATTAAGCTTCTGTACGGAAAGATAATGGGAGGCACCAGTACATGCATTCAATGAATCACCTGGAATATGAACCTCCGGATTAGGGCCACACAATGTATGTTAATCAAAACAAAAGCACAACTCAGAACCTCAGTGGTGGAATGATGCCTAATGTGATCAGGAAACAACCTATAAATTTATGGTTCTGGAATATTTTAGAGACGTAAGGTTTTCGCCCCGTCAACAACAGTTAATTTACGGCCCAGTGAGCAAAACAATGACATAGCCCAGGAAAACAACAAACCACTCTCTGAAATCAAACCAGCAACCTGACTTGACTGTAGCACACACCGGCGCCACCAAATGAAGCATCAAAACAAACATGCTGCATAATTGGAGGACATTCAACACCAATCCACTCTGAAATGTGGGAACATACAAAAGGAGCAAACATTTACACAAGCACTGCAATGCAGTCTCTTAGTGTGTGCAGGAGAGGAGGTGAAAGACGGGGGGGGCTGGTACGGTTACAAAAGGAAATCAGATGGAAATCGATGCGGTGACACTACGTACGGAGTTTGACCTCCAAGCAAAAAAGTTGCGGCAGTCTGACTCGATCGCCGTCTCCTCCTGAAACATCACACAAGAGGATGGCACACACAGAAAAGATGTATTTCTAACTCTACCACACAGACAAATTACAACACATTTGGTTTTGGCCAAATAAAAATGCTGTAGTCCGAAGAGGAATCCAATCACACTAAGAAATAAACAGACCATTACCATAAAACACCACGAGCACAGAGACACGGTTGCATGCAAGTACACGCGGACACTACAACTCAACTTCCTTCAGGTGCACTCACCAGATACCAAACGTAGTGAAAACGGCTGAAAATCTTCATTTCTTTTGGAGGTTTTATGTAGTAAGAGCCCCCTTTTCAGTGTGCACGCGTGTCCCTGTTCGGCCGATGAGTCTTTGCTACCTCAAAGTCTCTGTGTGTAGCATCTCAATGGCAGCGTGGCGCCGTCTCTACAACAAACCCTCATCGCCTCCTCTCGTATGACTCTGCATGTCCATCAAAATATTTGTCACTGACTGTGCCGTTGCTCCTCCTCCTGGTGCCTAAGTGAAGGTCACCTGCGCCTACGTACGTGTGTGTGTGTGTGTGTATGTGTGAGAGCGATGTTGGGTTGGAATAATTAAGTGGGCCGTTCAGTGGCGCTCAGGCATCAAACATTTATGCTGACTTCAATTCAACAGACGTGTACAGAGCTTTTCTCCTCACTCATCTCATCTCTTTCGCGTGCGTTTGTCTTTGTCCTTTAACTATGTTAAATGTCCGGGCTTTTGAAATGGCGTTTAGTTTGTACGACGATTCCTTTAGAAAAATAATCAGGTTGTTATAACACCATAGCCGCTTCAAACCTAACTACACATCCTCTTTCTGGCGAGAAACCGTTAAGTCAGCGGCCCGTCCGTCTCTCTCTTCATTAGCTCCATTGTGACGCTGCACTGCCCTGTGGTCATAGTGCTGCTGCACAGGCACACAGGAAGCAGACAAACAACTTCGGGTCGACCTTCAGCTCTCGTGCAGATGGAAGGTTTCATCAATACGACGAGAACGGGAAAGGTTTGTGGTGGAGTGTGTAAATACGACCGTCTTCAAAGGTGACGATTTAGTGTCATTCATTGCTACTAACAACAGATTTTATCAGCCGGCTTTAGAAGACTTCTGGCTTTCAAACTGCCTTTCTGGCTCATACTCAAATACAATAATCATTCTCAATTTAGGAGAGTTTCACAACCCTGACCAACATTTTATTAAATGCACTCCTTCTCACTGATTATATTCCAAGTCTGAAAACATACATGCTAAACCCCAACCTTAAAGTCAGCCTGGGAAAGCGTGTCAGTCTAATATTATGATAAGTAGCATTGACCTGCAACATCTTTTGCTCATTTTCCAAGTAAATATACGCATGTACAATGCATTCCTTTTCCAATATAGAAAAGGTGTCATTAACGTGCTCCACTTCTTTCAACTATACAAATAATCGTTCATGCAGTTTAACTGGTGATAAACCAGCTCCCATCGTCCCATCACAGACGGCGCGAGCTGCTGAGGCTGAGCAGTTACATGTACAGCATCCATCCAACCATGCAGACCTGACACAGCGATGAGGGGGGGGGAGAAGAGTAACACAGCTTACCTGCAGAGCAGCCTGAAGTGTGTAGAAAAGGAGACAGGAAGGAGCAGAAGTAGAAGAGCAGAAGAGAGACAGTTGGTTAGGTTTGTCTGTGCATGAGCAGCCAGATGACAGAAAGAGTGGAGGGAGGGAGGGAAGGAGGGAGACAACATAAAAATAGCATCGAGATAAATTGTGCGAGGGGAGGTGGAGGATAGACGCTCTGAGACAGGCGGATGTTGGCCCGCGTACCATCCCCGACTGAGCGGGAGGAGCGAGAGAGATGACAAGAGAAGAACAGATGGAGAAGGCATCCAAAAACATTGCATATCAGAAGTCAAGAGAATGAAACGAACGTCACTCATAGACAGACATTGGCAGAAGCCGAGCCGACGACAGCTCGGTGAGAAGCTGGCAGATGTCGTCTGACGTTAATAATGCTGTGTGATGTGCAACTAAGGCTACGGGCGTTCTAGCAGCACCACATACTGAAACATGATACCAGGAGCCCGTGTCTGACTTTACATTTATATAACGTTATATTCATACAGCGAACAAAAAAAAAACTCCAAACAGGACTTCTAGTAAGTGTGAGATACATTTAACATACATTTCAGTTGTTGTCAAAACATCTGGAGCACCTTCTGGTATATAATACAGCAACAGGTGGGAGTTAGTGGGGATATTAAGGTTGGCGTGGGAGCTGAAACTTAACCTTGTTTGTTTGGTTTCCGTCAGCTGTCAATTATGCATGGCTGTGTGTGTGAGATCATCGTTAGGGGATCCCCTTACAGAGCGGAGTACTACCTCCATTCACTCTAAGGACAAATGGACAGCCAATGGCCAAAATTCATAGTTTTATTATGCAAATGCACCTTTAAGCGTTTTATTTCATTAGCAATGTTTCTTTTTCCAAACGCAGATAACTGATTTGTCCTTGGAGTTTTTGTAATTATCTGCCATGTTGTGCACTCACACACCAAGTAAGGGAGCTTGTGTTTATGTGTTGTTTGTGTTGCTGTGGAGAGGTGAAGAAGATAAAAGGTTTAATTTGTTGTTCACATTCACATTGTGCACCATAAATTTGTACTTTGTGAATGTGCTTTTTCTGCTTTCCTCTTCAAATGTACCTTTTGCTGGATGGTGGAGTGTTTCTGCTCCATGTCCCTCTTCTCTTTGGCAGCATCCACCACCAGAAGGTCCAACTGCAACACACGGAGCAACGTTGAGCAAGTCGAGCTCACCGAACCAGCCGTACTCAAAATGAACAAATCAAACTTAAAATCACGTTCAAATGTGGGTCAACTTCTTTCGGTTTTGCCACATTTACATTCTTGATAAAAAGGCCAAACAAAACCAACGTGTCACATTCGTTCCAAGTAGAGAACGCAGGGAGCCATTGGAATGGAAAACACTGCCACTGCCCTTAACAGGTGAAAGCAAGGGCGTGTGCACAGAAGCTTTCATTCCGCTCTTCAGGGATTCAGCCATTCAAGCAAATAAACAACTTCCACACCGGCCACAGCGAGACAAGACAGGCCCTTCTCCTCTGAACAAAATGGGCTGTGGAGGCTTCATCATGTGTGAAATTGGATGGGGGGGTGATGATTGATTCCCCTCGTCCCCACGAGTACCCATCGCGTGTAGAGAGCAAAACAAAACAATGGATTTCTTTGAGCAGCGAAGAAAGCTATAAATAAAGTTTTTTTTAAAGTGCTGGAGGTCAAACATCTGCTATTTCACCTTCAGAGCGCCTGTGACCGCGATCTGACCTAAAGCCTTGTGTCTGGAGCCTCAGAGGGATCCGTATCTGCGCGTCGATCAGCTTTGTTCATCATATGGTTTTAATGTACGCCGCGGCTTTAACGGTTCCTGCAGCACAACTTCAAACTAAACGACAATTCACACAAACGGCTTACAGGGAAGACAACGTGCCAGAAGAGATAAGAGAGCTGAACCCCACTTCACTTTTCTGATACATGCGCTACATTTCTTGCGAAACAAAATTATATTAATGTTATTGAATCCCTTTGCTTTTCTTTCAGTGGACATAACAACAAAAAAGCTGCAACCTAATTGTTTCAGAGAAGGCGGCATTCGAGGAAGCCGGATCTCCTGTTTTGTTTGGAGAGGAAATGGGTGGCAGGCCGATAACATCAGATGGGGAATGTTTTCCTCCGTCGCGCTCTGACTAGTCCAGTCCACACCGTCTTTCTGCTTCTAGATGCATCTACAGAAAAGGCAGGTGTGGGTTTCCACCACACCATATTTTGTGCAAGACCCCCTTACCTCTGACATCTCTCGCTTACTGTGCGAGCAGAGCAGCACACTGAAACATTTGTCACCCAGCTTCTCTCTCAACATGCAACACTACGATGACGTGCTGCACGAATGACTCGCGGAAAAGATGCAAAACATCCTTGTGATTGAATATATTCACTGAGCCCGAGGCGGTGTGTCATACGGAAGATCGGCAGAATATCTTATATTTACAACCATTCCAGCGGTTTCCGAATTTCTCTGTTATGTTCCCACCCGTAATCTCTTTCTATTTGACTACAGGCATCGAGTCATGGTATCAGACCTGTTGGCAGCTCCTCCACACCTCCCTGCACAGACTCTCCATCTTCTTCAGTTTCATGATGGAGAGAAGAAAATAAATAATCCACAGTCGTCTGGTCACTGCTAAACACAGCTTGACCTCTGATCTTTCTCTCCTTTCAGTGTTGCACAGTTCAGTGCAACAGGCTTTTAATCACACCATGGCGGTATACTTCTGTAACCAACTCTCAACTCTCACAACTCGCACTTCTTTCCTCCCACAATGCTTGGAGTCTTGAGTGTAGAAGGCTTACAGTCCGTACTTTTCCATTCTACTTCAATCACTTCTTGCGTTGAGAAGATTCCATTTTGCTTTTATCTCTTCCTATAATCTGCTTTTAAAAGTGGGTCTTGTGTTCCCCCCCTTTTTTTTTCCCGGCTGATAGTACCAACGTCAGATGGTTCAGTCTTCAGTGTGAGGGTTAGAATTCACACTCTTCTCTCCAATCCACCATCCGAACTCTTCAGATCTGGCTTCAAAAATGTCTTTTCAAATAAAGAAAACATTGTTTGGTGGCTTTGGTCCTTTCTTTTCATGGACTAAACTTCAGAAATTCACGTTAACAAGCTACACTTTACTCTTGAGAAGCGTCCTCTACTCATCAGCTCCACACTGTGCCTCCTTCCTTCCCTGGTCCTGCACCCAATCTTGAATATCCTCCTCCCATTGAGCTCTTCTTCCTGTCCAAGTGTTTAAGGTCCACAACCTTCAGCGTCAAGCTCAGATTTATGTGCCGTGTTCACTCAGCTGATATTCAATGAGTCGGACTGTGGGAAAACCCTTTTCCAGCCCTCTGGCTGCCTTCTTCCTCATTCCTGCTCCACTGTGATAATCATCTTAAAGTCACAAATCGGGCCGTCCTCTGGCTCAGAGGGAAGGCTCTGTTTATCAGAGGATGCACACAGACACACACACGGAGCTGAAATATCAATACATACAGACACAGAGAGGATAGGAACACAAACACAGAGAGAGGTCGTCAGGAGGTGGAAGCTGGAGGTCAAATGGCAGTTGTACTGATCGCTAATGATCACTGTGTAAATCTATGACCATAATGTTTAAGATAAAGACCAAATGTATAATTTCAGAGTCCAGTAAAAAGTGTTTACCATGAAAGTGCACTGGTATGTACGTATGTATCTTTGCTAACATGTATTCCATTACTCGGCTCAAAATAGATGAATGTTTGTTTATGTTGCAAGTGTTTATACTGTATGTTAAATCAACATTGTTTTCCAGGGCTCTGTAGTGTTTACTTTTAGTATTACATTAAAGGAAGTGAAACAAATGGTGAGACGTGTTTAATTTTTAATTAATTTAATTTCTGAAGAGACGAGGTTATGGCAGATTTGTGATGACAAATTAATGGAACACAACGTAATAATATAGAATACGTAATATATACGTAATAACATCTAACATCTTTAATCAATAGTTTATATGTAATTTATTTATTGATTTAAAAATAATTGAATCAAAACCAGTTAGCAGGTGAGTTTTTTTTAACAAAAATATATATATATCACAAGAGCATTTACATCAGTCATCGTTTATATTTTATAAATGACAATGATAACTGAAGTTAACGTTTTATCAAATTGGGTTATGCCTTAAGAAACAACAGTCAGATGTCTTTTAATCTGGCTTTTGGATGGATACCTACAGTCAATTTGAGTGTGTGCGTTCACCGTGTAATACAAGAGTTCTTCGAGTTCGATTTAGGACTTGCGGTCACAGACTTGAGGGAGAAAAGAACACTGTATAACTGGAGCGGAGGCTTTGGGTTCAACCAACTGCAAAGAGACGGCTGTACCTGTCCTCCAAGCTGCTTCATCAGAGGTTGGAGTTCACTGAAGAGGTCATAGCCTTGGTGGAAGAACGTCAGGTGGGCGTACATGAAGGACAACATCTGCGGAGAAGAAGGTAGATATTCACGGCGCAAGTAGGGCTGCAGCACAAGTCATTTCACGTCAAAGAAAATTCCACTCACTGATTTCAGGATTTCCGATCGTCTCTTTGATTGTAGCACATTGATCTAATAAAAAAAGAAAAAAAAGTGAGAAGCAGGAAGACAAGAAAGAGTCTCCACTATCCAATATCTGAAATACAACCGAGAAAAGAAATGAAAGGACAAGACAGGAGGGGAAATGAGGTAAGATGCTGCAGATGAAACAAAAATAAAAGCATTACAGGAGAGCAGTTCTTCCCAAGGACACCAGGAGGAGCTCCGTGTCGCATGTTCAATTGTGTTTGTCTCACCCATCATCAACATTTCCCGTTGCATTCATTGAAACCTGCTCATCTGGCCTGGGACGTTGCGTTCGGTTTCAAGTTAATGGTAGTAGCGGTACATCATGAAAGGTTGTAAACGCAGTCGTGCTGGCTGGCTTCATCGTGCCTGAGAGGAACCAACGGCCGCCGAGCGACATGCACACTCGCTAACTGGACGCAGAGCAACTGACCCCTTAAGGGGGGGGGGGGGGTCTCTTTTCCTTAGGAACACCTTCCTTAGGAACACCGAGCACACGTTGATCCAAGTTCCTGGATGTAAAGCTTATTTTTCCAGCTCTGAGCCACAGCAGCTGATGCATCACATCTATATTTACAAGCCCCCTCCTCCTCCTCTCGCTTACAGTCAATTAGTAGTTTTGAATAGAGTGGCATCTGGCCAGTTACTGGCCGGGTTTCTCATAGCGTCAACAAAGAACAATCCATCAGCTTTATGTTGCTAATTGGTGGTGAAAAATATTTGGGCTAAATTAGTCACTATAACTGCTGGGGGATTTCAGGTTTTGCAGGAAGAAAAACCTCCATTAAACAAGTTGCTCTGCATGAAGTATCATGCCTGGATCATCCATTAAAGTTCAGTATTTCATGATCTAGTTCTACGTAGCATAGCAGGGTAAAACAACGCTATTGTCTTAAAACGTTAAGTCTGGCTTTCAATCGCTCTCCTATATTTTCCTCTCCCATCTTGCATGTCGCTGGGAATTGTGCACCATATAATTAAGTAAAAACAACAACAGCAACAATAATAATAAAGCTACAATACATCTAAAATGTTTCCTATAGCCAAAGCTGCAGAGGTTATCAACATTGCTGACCGCACCACTAGAATGTGAAACTTCTAAGAGTCCCTTTTACTTCAGCTGTAAAAGCTCTTGGGTTCATAGATTTCCTATAAGCAGACTAGAAAGGCCAGATTGAAAGAAATCTCAACAAATTTCTTTCTTTCACTGGAGCAGACTGCCAAACCCATTTTGAAACCCGCTTTGTGAACTGTGCCCACAGAGCATTGTCTTTTGGAGGGCGATTCAAATAACAGGGTTGGCAGCTGCCTCGTCAGAAAGCATGACGCATTCAGCGGCGCTTCTGTGGCCACGAGGGGAGAGCGGAGGCTCAACTGTATTCAATGATACATCCGTTCGGCTTTGATGGAGAGGGGAGAAAAAAAGATCTAGCAGATGTTTACTGGTTGAAGCACAAGCCGAAGGATAGTTGATTTAGCACTTTGAACGTCATTTCGCTATAAAATGAATGAGTGTTCATCCAGAACCAATCCAGACCCATTTTGACGCGGTTCTCTTTTCTTCTTAAAATTTTAATCTGTAGCTGCGTTCTTCAAATACCGTAAGACTAGAGCGGTTTTTATGATGAATTTAAAGTAATTCAAATTAACTGCAGCTTTCCTCCTCATCGGCCAGATCCGTAGTTATGTTCTATAAAAATCATTTCTCCAGCGTAGCGCTTGATCAAACATGACGGCTGATTGGTCACAAGAACATTTGGTTACAGACCATAACAGGTCAAGCTTCGGCTTCTACTCCATTCGTTTTATAATCCGTCTGAGTTGGGGCATAATGCGCTAATGCATATTATGTCCTTAATTGGTTTCATTATAAACTTGAGGACAGCAGTATTTCATCCATTTTAGCATGAAAACAAAAATAAAAATAAAAATAAAAAAACAACAACTTCAGCTGTTCCAACTGCTGCCGTCTGTGTTGTGCTTATTAAACCGCTTCCGGGATGGGTTTGGGTATTTCACTGTAAATGGGACTGAATCGCCTCGGTGCCTCATTGGTGTTACAGTTGGGCGAGTAGCTGCACCTGTAAAACGTAGTCGAGGACGATGTGTCGGAAGCACTTGCGAGTGGCGGTGAGGATGTTGGTGGCCTCCTCCACCTCGTGCTGCTTGTTGCGGGGAGCCTGCGCGTTCTTGATGAGCGCTCCCTCCTTTTCCTCGCTCACTTTATCAAAGTGCTTCTTGGCCTCTTTGAACTTGCGTATGTCACTGACGAGGGGAGGGAGGGGACAGAAGTTCAGTAAGACCAACACACAAAGTCGACTGCATCTATTGTACAAGTATTTGCAGGCACAAACACTTAAAACATTATAACAGCACGTTCACACGAATCTGGGATGACTTCTAGGTGGTTTGAAAAACTGACACAAGGTCAAACAGGACACATCCCTTTGTTGTCAACAACGATGTGATGGGAAAGGTCAAATCCTGAAGGAAGCGGAGTTATCTCTGGATATGAACCAACACAAGGCACGGCCGAAGCAACAGGAACATGCAGAGGTTAAAGGGGATTTCATCTCTCAGGGGGGGAAACGAAGACGTTTAAAAAAAACAAAATGACTAAAATGATTGGATGTGGGTCTTGAGCCGGGTAAGAAAAGGTTTAAGGCACTAGTCTTGAATCAGAGGACAAAGTGCTTAAAGTGAGATTTGTGTTTGAGTGCAGGAAGGTAGTGAGTATTTAACGGCATGGCTGCTGCTGCTGCTGTGTTGGGCTCTGGTGCTATGGGCAAAAGCTGCTAATCCTTTTAATGAAATAAACCAGAAGGCCCCAATCACGCCTACAAGCCATCTGGAACACAGTGCTGTGTAAGAAGGCTTTAAACTGAGAGACATGAGTAGAAAATATTGCCATGTATACCAATTGTTTGGTCCTTGCTGGATCAACAGCCTAAATGTGACACGTTCAGTGTTTTCTTTATATTCATAGTATTCAAGAGTGAGCTTTCTGTATTCAAAATCTACTCCAGCATGGATTTGAAGTAAGTTCCAGTGTTCCTCATCGACTTGATCTGGATACAATCCAGTGAAACTCTAAATGTGTTGGTTTGTTCTCAAGCAGAGATTAAACGAAAAGTCAAATCAGGACATATTTCAAAAGCACAGATTGCCACGAGATATGAGCAGCGCTTTATTCAATGAATACTCACTCTTTGACAAATGTTTGAAGCTGGGTCTTGATTGATCTCTGGACCTGATCGAATAAAATCTGTGAAGAAAGAAGGACGAAGCTAATCAGGCAGTTCTCTTGGAAAGAAACAAAAAGGTGATGCATGGATTCACTTTCCCTGCAAGTCAGTATTGTGCACCTCTGTTTAGGAGGATTCCAGTTTACATCACAGGGTGCAACTAGAAAGCCAAATTAACACCAACAAGCAGACTTTTTCAACTCTTCTCATAAAAGACGTAAGCGCGAGAGATGGCGTGATCTTATTTTTAGTTCTGAGTCACGCTTCAAAAACGCTCTACCAAGCAAAAGGTTCGGACAGACACTTCAACCTCTAAACAGTGTTCTTCAGTGTGATTTCATGTCCAGACGAGACAATGTGAGTAGTGTGGCTGGAAGAGGCTCCGAGTGACCAACAGATTGAGTCCCCGTTTGAGTGGATCACGTGCTGAACAATCGCTGAGTAGCAAAAAACCTATCTGACAGTCAGCTGACGTGACCGCAGCCGCCTACGTTGAGTCACAGCCTGCGCGGCGGCTCTCGGGGGCTTTTAGGCGTCTAGTCAAAGAAGCTTATACTTGGATTTGGTGAAGAAAGATTCCGCAGTTGGATCACGGTAAACCACCTCACCGTAGCTTTTTGGGATGTCAAAGAAGAAAAAACACACGATCGGATTTAAATCAGAGAATGTTACACTCAGACTTCAATGTGGAACTTGAACCCAGTTTAACCGAACAGAACCTCAGATTGAAATGACACTGATGTGGTCAAATGATTTGCAGATTTGGTCCCCATTTCAACGAAGGTTTTCCACTTTATCCAAAAGACGTTTAATGTCAAATTTAAGGCCGAGTTTAAGGCCAAGAGAAATTTCTTGATTAAGACAATAAGTTCTTTTTATCTACTAATCTATTTATAAATCTTAACCTATTTCATCTTTCTCCTGCTTCACTAAAAATGGTAGAAATGAGTTGCAATAACAGTAGTTGTAATAGTATCAATTAAAGGAGTTGAAGAATGGGGAGGCTCTTTAACACTAATGGAACATTTATGTGAGAGGTCACGGTTTCATCCAGAACCACGGTGACCGTAAAAGGTCCAATTCCCAGTAGCAAACTTCCCCTTGTCGTGGACAGCGTGATGCTGGCTGGGAAGTCCCTCTGAACACGTGAGGCAGAGCTGACAGAGAGCGGACGTGACGGGCGAGATCAAGCAACGAACCGCTGCTGCAGGACGAGAGCCTCTCGCCCGCCGCGCGTCTCCTCTCTTGTCTTCAAAAGGATTCTTAATGAGGGAACCTTCCTCAGGGGAACTTTCATTCCTGCCACAGACCGACAGCCGAGGACGCTGACAAGGGGATTCTGGGAAAACGCATAATGAGATGTGTCCTTCGGGGCTCCTTGGGGAGTTTGGTCCGCGTGGAGTGGTTGGACGTGGAGTGCGTGAAGACGATCACGTTGAGCCAAAAAGAACTCTTGCATTGTGAAAGGTGAACTAAGTTCCTTTAACCTATTTCACCATCCCTGCACTCCACTAACAGGCGTGTTGCTAGTCGCAGCTGTACAATTATCAGGTAGGGAGGAGCATGGTAGGTATTTTTAACAGGATGCCGACCACATTGTGAAAGATTGAGGTTGACCACGTTTGCCTCAGTAACGCACGATTCATTCTACAGTTTCCACAGCATGGAAGGAAGGGAAAGGATTTCATGAGACAGGGAAAAATAACCCCCTAACATGGATTTCATGTGCTTGGAGAAGAAGTAACTTTATTTTCATGGCAAGTCCTGAAGCCATGTTGACGTTAAGTACAAAACATGTGGTTTTAGGTATCTGAATGTTTTCCCTTTAAGTACTTTTTACAGAGGACAGCGTTTGCACTTTTTGATACTTAAATGGAATTCAACCCTGAAGCAGCGTGTTAAACCCAGTTGCTTCCAATTCCGAGTAGCCCCGTGAAGGCAGTTGAAAGGGAACGTCTTGCTCAAGGACGTTATTGCAAAACCGTAACAATTTCTAGTCTCACGGACCTAAAAGTCCCTGTCTTGTAGTCTGCCGCCGTCCTTCACGACAGTAATTAAATGCTGTGACGGTTAAGAGATCTGTTCCCGACTGTCGGCTGAGTTTAGTCATCAAACAGTCGTAGCGTTTAGGATTAAAATAATGAAGATATATCCAGTTCCCCGTGGCAGTGATGGCATACCGTGTGATAGTTGATCATCTCTTGCAGGCTCTCTGCAAACTTTGTGAGACTGGACTGTGGAGACAGAAAGGGACAGACATGAAGGCAGGCAGAGAAAACATCCTCATATATCTATGATAACAACAACAACACACAAACAAAGACACAAAACAAAACGAGGCCTGTATATTCAAATAAGATGCAAAACTCCAAATCCAACTCTTGTGTCGGTCAGGTAGGGCTACACAGAAACTGTGGGGGTTTTTTGGAGGCAGAATAACACACTGGGATGGAATTCTTTTGTTAGTTACTCCCTTGAAATACATGCAGTGGCTCAACTTCAAACCCACTGAAGAGGCATTGAGGGGAACGGACAAAGGCCGAGAGGAAGTACTTGCCCCTGAAGAGTCATGTGAGAAAACAAAACCTCGACTAGTGGACAGTGCAAGGTTTCACATCTCGCCTCATTTTGTTAAATTTAGATATCATCTGGTAACGTCGTGAGGGGATTGAGACACTCAAGTGCGTGCCGATAGAGAGGAAGCGCAGTCCTCTGGGAACTAGGAACAAGTCTGCCATGGCCAGTTTTTATTTTACTATTATTTCACAATGTAGAAGTCAACTTAAATGTCCAATAATTGTATAAAATGTTGAAAGAGTCATGCCTTCATGAAGAGCAGAGAGAAACAACACAACCCCAAACATTGTTATGGAACTAATGTTTGTTTACCTCGATGACCTCATCTCTGGTGGACTGCTGGGCTAGCTCCCGGATCCCGTTTACAAATTGCTTGTTGGCTGCGTTGTAGGCTTTTCCGGCATCTATCATCCCAATACACAGCTTTACCAACTAGAGAGAGAACGAGGAAATGGTCAGAGGTAATCATAAGGAAAAAAAGAGAGAAACGCTGCAGTGTGAAGTGAACGATTTGGAATTGAATCAGAAATAAAACGCAAGTTTTAAACCATATCAAACTAATCTAATTCATGTTTTTTCAGAATGTGGTATTTATTTATTTTGAAGTGTTTAGTCCCAAACAAATAACTGCGCTGGTAGTAAAAGTCAGAAGGTAAAAGGTCACCAAGGGGGATCTGAATCAGCTGTTCTTGTCAAACTGGGTGATAACCGTGAACAAATGCAAACCCTAAAACCCGCCGCTCACACTGAACACACTACTGATCGCATACATTCTTCTGCGTCTTTCTGCCTTTAAAATTTGAATTGGTTGAATTACGACAAAGACTGAAAATTATAACATCTGACCTCGACCTAAACTCTGAGAACGTCCGAAGCTCAGCTAAAGGACGACCGTTACTACTAGCACGGTGATATGACTGAACTATTGTATTGAACTCCTGGTCTCTTTAGCCCTCAACCCCAACCATTACCACCCACCCACCCACCCACCCACCCACACCCACACCCACACACACACACAATCCCAGCATTACGCAAACAGACACGCAGATCCTTCCTCTCCAAGGCAGGAGTGGAAGGGAAGCCGGGGCTGAGTCAGAGAGGTGGGACTCCAGAAACAATGAACTGGATCTTCCACGCTTGAGGTTCCTCCCGAGTAGCCAGAGAACGCGCTCTAAGCTCTGTGGGGCGTCCATTGGGGAGAGGGATGGGTTTGCCATCAGGCCAGGACACGACTTCTGATGAAAACTAGCCTGTTTGGATTATACATAGAGTCCGGGCAACTTGAGCAGAATGGCAGAGATGAGCTGCCGCGCCAGGAAAGAGGATACAAAGAGAACCAGCCTCAGGAAACGAGAGAGTTCCTGTGTGGAAGTTAACCGTTACTTAGAAAGTCAGCCATAAAATAAATGAGCTAAAAAAGAAACTAGAATCTCATTCTGCACAATACAATTGAATCATAATGACATTTGATGAAGGGAATTAATCAGGAACAGGTAAACTGCCATTTGGCTGTAAAGTCGATGTTAATTTTCCAAAGTGTTAAGTGGCAATGAACACAGATGGGATCCGTCCTTCCTTCTGAATTACTGGTACATCTGAATTAGTGGAGTTGGCCGTGCACCATACACACTCAGCACAGCCATCAGAGTCCTATTTAAAGGCCGGGGGATACACGGGGGGGGGGGGGGGGGTGGTTAGAATGTTGGAACAAATGAAATACTTAGCCAGGTTTTTCCATGGGAGTTACTCACTTTGTCGAGCTTGGATTCCAACTCACACACATCCCCCTCCACATCCTCTATGGTGGCTCTGTGGGAAGAGAAGAACAACAAAAAAAGCGTTTGAAAATCAAATGTTACAATGACTCGTCACGATCAACTTCACGGACACGCGGCCACTCACATACTGGCTGAATGGAAGATAAAAGACATGGCAAGCGAATCCTCACGTAAAGAACATTATCTCCACTGGTTTACGGACCTTGCTACCTTATAAGAACTTTCACATTTACTATGGGTCCTGTGTTCCCTGTACACGGACCTCAGACTCCATATGAGAGGTGGAGGTTCTCACCATGAACACATCCAGTGGCTCTTCTGAAGCCAGAGTTTCGGCATTTGGCAGTCAGCGAATTTCTGTTTTTTTGGCAAACAGTGACCCGTACAAACAGATTGTGGATATAGTGAAAGTGTACGTATGTAGTAAGTGACCATCACCACAGGCTTTGGTGAATAACCCCCCCAGTCAAACGGGTTACTGTGACCTTATTCGAGTGCAGGGAAAAGTAGCGTCTGGTTAGTGATTTGATTTATGTGCTCAGTAAACTCAATGCAGGTATAAAAAAATCAAATGTAAGCAAACACCACTGACTTTGTTTAGACATGTTTTTGCTTTACACTATTTTCTTCTATTTTTTTTTTTTTTAAAGGCCTGATTGCATGATCTCAATGCAGCCCTCTGTTTAGTTCTTTTAAAACTGATAATCTAGAGTAGATTTATACCATTGCTTTTATTTGAAGGTAAAACAAGTTATCATGCAGGACTGAGAAAACTGCAGGCGCAGCGGGGTGCCTCAAACCCTCTCCAGCTGTTTGCTCTTTCAACAGGTACTGGACCTGTGGATGTTTCCCATGTACATGTACATTTTACTTCAAAAGCAGGGATGATCAAAGTCCTGAAAAACACAAGCATATTTTAGATCATATCCTTTAATGCATACCTGCTAGGTCTGAAGGTTGTTCTCTTTATGAAGCGTAAAGTACTGCTTGAGATAAGACATTCTTTGTGCAGTGTGCACGTTCGCTTCATCGGTGAGTAACAAGGCAGTTCAGATGGCCTCCTTCTACAGAGCTGGTTGAAGCAGAACAAGATCCTACACTAAGGAACACTAATAGGTTTGATGAAACCATAAAGGCAGAAAACTGATATTGGTGAAAAGCAAAGTCTGGCCTCAGTATCTTTAAGCCCGTGACATGAAGACCCACTCAATCAGGAGTAAACTAGAACGCCTCTACTTTGTAACGCTCACCACATGGCATGACTGTCACAGAGCGATTGGGACATTTTGTCGACCCAAACGGAGGGGAATGAACTGAGCTCACGTAGCTGGCGAGGCACAAAAGGGGGTCAAAAGCAATAAAGAGCTTGCTTGCTTCAGAGACATTAATCCCTGTTGGCCTTCGTCAGTTGCCACAGGCAAAGTCCATTTCTCTGATGCACGGCTTACATGATGTCCGCTCTGGCGACGGGCGACACAGTGCGTGGATTTGTTTCCTCAAATGCATCTCCATTCATACGCGGGGCGTTTTGCTGGTGTGAAGGCAGTAGTGACAGGAGTAAGCTGCAATCCTTCGTTTTCACGCCATTACCAGCAAGCTGAAGAGGGGGGGGGTCGAAGCTTTTACAAGCACCACGCAACAGATGCTGGCTTCTTCCCTGGAAGAAAACCCGGGTGAAGGGGGATAATTGCATGTGAAAGGGTTTGTTTGTGTGCGTGTGCGCGTGTGTGCGCGCACGTGTCCGCGGCTTTGACCTTGATGAAAGCACTTGATCTTGTTTGCTCAGGTACAGCAGCACAGAGGTAAGAGGAGACGTTCGGAGGGCAGGTCCAAGATCTGAATGTGTGAAGCCGACGGAATCAAAGGCCGGTCGTGAACACTGGGCCATCTTTCCCCGGGGTAAACAACCGTACGGTTAAAATAGAATTGGCTTGGTCACGTAACTTTCTGTGTCGGGCAGTCGCTCGATGGCTTTCAATATAAAAAAAACGAGAGCACAAATATTTCCTTTTAATCTCGTAATTTGAGCCGGCCCGGCGCAAGCTTGTGACTGTCAGACGATAAGAAAAGGAAGGGAAGGGAATCTGGGCCGTTGCCGGACGGCTCTGACCTTGGAGCGCGTCCAGCATGAGTCCTGGTAATGAACAGAAGGAGAGAGCTTGAGAGAACGCTACACAAAGACACACACGTCTTTCACGTCAAAGTATGTGGTTGTTATACAGATTACCGATGAAACACATTTGAATTCCATATCCGTACCCAATGTGTAAATCAAGTACATACAGTACATATAATGGATGGAAAGAAAAGAAAAAGAGCAAACCAAGATGCAAACTGCGTGAGACAGAACGGACCATCGATTTATCATCAGAGACGAACCGAAGGCATTAAAATGTGGGTTTCCTGCGCTCGATTCTGAAACACTCTGACCGCCATAGAAAATAAAACATGCAGCGTATTTCACAACTCTGAGGAGGCTCCATTTGTCATATTAATACTACACCTGTCAAAGAGTGAGCAGGGAAGGCGTTGTTTTATTCCATAGACTTCAACATTCAACACTGTACTAGTTGTCCCAAAACTACGGTATGAGAATTAGGAATAGGTACATATTAGACACTTTCAACATCAAATAATGTTATATAAATAACTTAATGACTGCAGTATTTTCTGTGACATAAATAATGATATCAACAGCAGTGGTTGACCTTTACTGCAGAGAGAAGACGCTTCCTCTGTGACTGAATGAGTAACATCCAGGAGAAAAGTCAAAGACAACAGCAACATGTGACCAGTTCGCTCACGAAATGAAACTATAGAAATTAGGAAACAAAAAAGGCCTGGCCAGGTCTGCGCCGCCGAAGAAAATAGACGAAGAAGAACAAAAAGCTTGTAACTATGTAAACCACATCAGTGAGAAAAAGGCCGACTCAGCGTCTTCGGGGGAATGTTTGGGTGCTGCTTCGCTATAGGATGACAGAAAAAGCCCACTTGAATTATAAATTTAAAAAATATACGTACAGTTGACCAGAACCCGATACCTTCAATTGTGAAGGGAGGGCAACACGGTGCCGGCACTGTGTGTGTGTGTGTTCTTAATCTGAGTAAACTCAAATTGTAGTAGAAGGTGGTGACTAAGACAGTCACACTGCCCACAACGGCAACAATAGGAACAGATCCTGGATCCTTTCTGTGCTCCTCGTCCTGCACCTGCACTCAAGAGCTCGGACGACATTGGCAACAGCTCCTCCAAAAACTGACAGCCAACCGGTCCGCAGAGATTTGGTGACCATGAACTGAACGAAAGAGGGAAGCCTCTCTGGCTCTTCGGTCCAAACTGAAATAACAAAAATCGTTGAGAAAGACGACGATGGGCAGGTTAACTAACTTCATTAATAATAATGATAATCCTCAATCCCTTAATGTCGTCAAATCTTTGACACCTCAGAGCCCAACGGAGTCATTTAATGCGTCAACGTTGCACTAAGCCAATATTTATATTTCCCTTTGTGATACAGCTCCAAATTCTGCTGTAAGATCACATCAGTCCAACTTTAAATATGACGGCGACTAATCCAATTAGGAGACGTCTGGCAAGCGGCTCTGAAGGTGGATGGATGGATGACAGCTGAGCAGTCCCACTTCCCTTTGATGCTTTCTAATTATATTTTGTGTGGCCTCACATCAGGCTTCCCTCAGCCTTCAATAACGTTTTAATGTTTTGAAAGGTCTTTTTTTGATAAGAATTTCCACTCTTGTGTCTGCAATGAGCGAATGAAAAAGGTGAACTAGAAATTAAACGGTTGCCCGCAACACTCTGAATTTGTTGCCGTGGCTGGAAATGCCGAGAGTGGAGGGGAGCGAAAGGTGCGGTGACGTAGATCCTGTCATTGTTAGCGGGGCGGTGGGGAGTCCCGCCGTGGTAAAAAAAAGCCACCATTAAAAACGCACGGCCTTCAACATCCACACTATGAGGTCAGCTCTTAAAGATAGAGGGTTACACCGGCCGTCCTGGTAACGGATGAGCACTGAAGTCATGCTCAGCCTTCACCGTGTGTTACATAAGCTGCAGGAAGGAAACAGTCATCTTCCACTGCAACTATTAAAAGGTGCAGTCATCCAAAAAGAGCAGCAGGGGAAAACAACTTTGACAACAAAGGCCTGCATGTTTTCTTAATTGACTGATCGCTTAGCGTGCGAGGGTTAGAAGTTGGGCGGTTGTATTCTCTTTGCTGCCCCGGTGTCGGCCGGCTGCAGGAGCTGCAGTCAGCCGTGACATTCAATTGGCTGCTAATGCCCCTTTATCAATTATCATTAAAAGAAATGCACCGCAGCTCGTTTAAATTAAACTCCAACATACTCTGCGCGCTAACAAGGCGTCGGCGGGGCTCCCGGGGGGGGGGAAACTGATCAGGGACCAGCTCAGCCCCACAGCTCCTCATCCTCAGGTCCGTGCTGCAGGAGACTGACAGGCAATGACTCAGGGGAAGCGGTTCCAGCAATGACTTCATACCAGGGCACCGCACTGAGATCGGATTAAAACAATCAGGAGAAAAGCAATCGTGGCATCAGCGTTAAAGAAAGAGAAGAAAGGTTGCCGTTTTAATAGAGAACTCTGATCACTCTTGTCCACTAGATATGAACGTAAATCCATTATCCATGCTGCTCTTGTGAGGTTTTATTTTCTGATCTCTCTGGTATCACGTGATGCTTACTTGTGTTTGTTGAGAATCAGAACAGCTGTGGTCAACCAATGCCAACAAACGTAATATAAAAAATATATACATTGCAAAATGTAGCATCCTTTGGGACCTTACAAGATAAGAAATCTTATTGAAAGCGTCACATATGTACTCGTACGCATGTGGGGAGAAAAGCCACAGCTAAACAAAGGGAATTTTCAACTTGCATTGTCGAAGAGGAGCCAGGAAAAGGCTTAATGTCTAGTTTCAAGTGGAAAACTAGGCCACCACGGCTTGCTGCCAAAAATACATAGTTGTTACTACTACTGCTGCATCATCTCCGCCGGGCTACAGGCAAGACAACTTCACAAAATAAACAACAATATGAGCAATTTATATATATATATTATATATATATATATATATAAAAAATAGGGTGTGCCAGGTTACTGCTTGAAAGCAACCTTTCCTCGTTTGGTGGCCCCATATTTTCTGGCGCACAGTTGAAAGCAAACACCAAAATGGAAACAGATGTTTTGCGCAAGTGAGGGCAGCTCCGCTCACTGGTGTGCACGTCCGTGTTTCCATCCATTCTTTCTCACTCGCCACGTCCTCTTCTCTGGCCAAACATAACACGTGGGGAAGGGTCGGAAAGAAGCGATGAGGGTCGGAGTGGAAAGGCGCGCCGTGCGGATCAGGAGAGACCCGCGGCGCGTTTAAATTAAGCAACGGTTCAGAGACGGCAATGGGAACCAAAAACATCTAGGAGATGCGAGCTGGACTTTTCTTGGAAGAACGGAATCTTGAGGATGGAGATAATTATGATGACAATGAAGCAACGAAGGGAAGGAAGATGTTTAAAGACTCCGTGCAAAAGTTGTAATTAGAACGGGCAAACAATAACTGCCACAAGTTAAAGGAAAATTAGGCCGCTCACGTCGCTTGGCCGAAGATAAAATTGTTTCAAAGTACAATGAACAAAGTCACTGCAAAATCCAAGTAACACAAGGGCGGTGGGAGGTTTCCCGTTATTGTGGCTCCCGATGCCGGCATGTGTTCCTCGTTTGTTGCTGGAGAGGATGTTGCAGCATCAGCGAAGGGGAGCTGAGGGAGGAAGGAGCCGCTTTCTCAAATCTCTAGAAAACGCAAAGTGAGTGAGGAGGAAGTCGAGGGCCGATAGAACATTTTCGCACCTTTTAGGCTCGCTGAAGAAAAAAAAAATAAATGAAGAAAAAAAAAAGTCTGTGAGAAGCAACACCGCTGCCAGGAACACGTCACACACACACAAGAGATACACTGTACTTCTAAGCAAACTCTGCCGTCATTCACTTCAAATGAGGAGTTTTACTCTCAACATGGGATTTTAAAAACTGATGGGAAATGTTTTTCTAACCATATGCTGAAGTTTGATGTGCCAAGCCACAAAGCAACTAATGGGGAAATTATCTTGAGGATGAAAATAGTTATTGTTTTATGATGCCCTATTACAAGATGACAAGAGTAGTTCATTCTAGTAAGGGCAGGATGATAATTCAATATGATAATAATTTAAATATAATATTGTGATAAAATCAAAAACCGAGATATTGCACAAATACCTAAATGGATAACAGCCGATAACTTGCCCAGTAGAAATTCAGAAAATATGATCACATAGTTGTGAAAACTTTAAAACAACTCTCTATTCGTCCCATGAATGTGAACATATTCTAGTGTACAGCTGCAAAACATTAATTCACCCCCCCACCCTGTAATTACACTCGAAGAAAATAAAAAAATATGCAGTACTCTATGCTTGACATTTGAAACCATGGAAAATTAAGGTCAATGGCACACGCTGGGACTTCCGGCATTAATTTTTAATTTGCATTCCTATTTTACATAATTTATATTTGAAGGTAAGAAAGAAATAAAAGCACCAGAAGAGCTTTCTGGTGCTCGTGTGTGTGTTTGCCACACCGGTCAGGGAGTACATGTTTGGGTTTAATACCCCATCGCCTTCAGCTCTCTTGAGAGACAAAAATAGAAAAAAAAGTGGCAGGGCTGCCAACAGCTAGCTGTTTACTGCTGATTAGCTTGCGTTAGCATCCAGCTAACGTTAAATGATACTTTCCCCTTGAGATGAATAAATAATCCATCCGACCGGGACAAGAAGAAAAAAAATCACTCACCTGAATCTCGGAGAGTCTTGCAAACATTCCTCGAAGTCCACAGTTATCTTCATTTTGCCGCAGCGATTCCAGACCTCAGGGAATAAACACAGTAATCCAGGCTGAGTCTTTTGGGGCTAATTAGCTTGTTTGCTAACTTCTCCTGTAGCGTCGTCCGACCAGCTGGCTCCGCTCCGTCAGCTAGCCTCGGATGCTAGCACCTACGATTAAAAAGTCGTGGCAACGCAGACACACGCGCGACAGTGTGTGTCGTTGAGTGTGGGCGTGTGGTTGCAGCACACAAACAAATACAAAATAAATGCACGCTACAACACAAGTCTTTCGGGGACGCAGCGGTCAGTCCAGGAAGCAGAACAAGTGTCGTCCGGCAGGCAGGTCATAGCAGCCAGCGGGAGAGGATCCGTTCCTCAACGCAGATACTACCGCGCCGCACAAAGATCGTCTATGCTGCAGGGAGGCGTGTGCGGGGAGACACGGATCGCTGTCCACAGCGCCTGCACTCGCTTTCGGGGATTCTGTCCGTGAAAAGAGGGGTTGCAATGGAGCGGCTGTCGCTATCGATATACAAACTACATGCCAATGTCAAAAGGAGATTTATCAGAAGGGTGCTCAAACCCGGGTTCTGTTTTCTTTCCAATTTAAGATGGGAAAATCTGTGATTGGGTTTGATAATGGTAGCTGCATGTTATTAGGGATGTATATTATTGTATACCTTCATACATTGTTTTATTGAAATTTGTGTTGGATTTTAAAATGTTTCTGTATCTCACGATCTTCAGTTATCTTTAGTTGTGTTCCGAAATTTACCACGCGAAAAATTTAAAAAAGGAGCGAGGCCTCTCGTTTTTCTACACGATCTTCGTGAGTTGACACTCCTCCTTTCTTAATCCACATACTGCGGATTCAATAACTCCTCCCGTACAAATCACACACTGGAAACTTTAACACGACAAAAATAGGAAACAACGAATGTTTTCAGGTTTCTCTTCCGCTGGCGTTTAAACGTTGTTTTGCGGTTGAAACACAAGGAGTTTTCCTTCTTAGCCGCAAACCCTCTCGTGTGGGATAATCCCTCTGCCACTTCCGTTTTATCCCGATAGAAACCCAACGGGAGCAGCAGATACATTGTGTAACAGCGCCACCTGGTGGTTAGAGACGGGAACCGCATTTCAAAGATTACCTTAATGTGTGTCTATTCAAGTTTGTAGATAGATCTATATCTATGAATACAAAAATCCAAACTAACTGGATGTGTACTGATTATCACAGTATCAGTATTGATTATTGACATGGTATTGATTATCACATCAATAGCGGGAAGGGAAAAAGGGACGATGCTTTTAATCCATTAGTCATTAATTGTATTTCTAAGGTACTGTAGATATACTAGCAATAAAGAACAAGTCAATGTCACTATTTTTTATTTTCTATTAAAGAACACATATATATTCTTATGTCATGGAGCCAGTCTCCATTCATTTGCATAAGAGTATGTTAATCAACAAGCAGATGCTTGAAATAACAAATTAACCGTCTAACAAAATGAGCTTGAGACAATAGTTCCTAACAACATTTGTTTAATGATAGGAGACAAAAACCCAAACTGAATACACGCAATCCAATGATTAAAGGACTCGCAAACCGGAAATACAAAATCACGCAGATTTAAGAGCCGCATCATTTTTGAGACGCTCAACAGTCGGTCATTCTCAGCACACAAAGCGAACAGAGGAGAAGTGGTGCGAGTAACAAAAAGCGAGACGGCGAACACGCGAGGCCAACGTGAAACGGTAACGTGGAGCATAGCCGGTTCATTTTACACACATGTACATAAATACATTAGAGGCACATTTTGACAGTTCATAACCACCTTCGGGGTTCGATCACATCACTCATGTTTTGGACTTTTGCCCTTTCGTCTTATGTGAGAACGTCTCTCGAAGGTCTCAGCAGTTTCCTTTTCTATCTGCTCACAAATTCGGTGAACAGAAGACAAAGACAACAGTATCATCAAAATCTGTACATCCAGACGTATTCCTGTATCTCTATAATAACCGCTTGGATGAGTGTTTGTTGATTGGTGGAAATGGCAGAAAGGAGGATGCATTTAACCTCTATAATAACCGAAAAAAAACCCCACCAAACTCTAAACTACGAGAACAAAATGACCTGCAAAGGGACGTTTTATTTCCAGAAGTCATACCGTTGGTCTCTGATCTTATGGGATCTTTGTAATAAAGCACAACACATTCAAAATCACAGTGAGGAAATAAAAGGGCCCAGAAGGAAATGCATAGAACACAAAAGCAGACGCACAGACTCCGGGTTCCTACATACTTTTCTCTCAGGGCGTCGGGTTCTTGCCTCCGGCTCAAGTCATACAGTGTGTAAACTCAGTAATTATAAAAGTAATAACCTCCCCAACCCCCACACTCACTCTCATACTTTTGTCGAATGCAACAGTTTAAGACTTTCTTGTGACCCCCCCCCCCATGAGCTTAAGCAGGTTAGCTCTACTGCGGACATCTGGTTTAACTTAAGTTAGGAGCATCAAGCATTTCCTTCTTTGACATTCCCGAGCTGCGTCGGACACAAGACACTTCAGTATATCCGACCGCACTACATTAAACGGGAATTTAAAGACCAATTAGATGTTACCGTCCTCAAAACAAATGACGCACAATTGGGTCTGGGTGAAGCTCCCGTCCGAGAGACCAATTGTGTAGGTGAGAACGCCGGTTTTTGAGTGCTAACTGTCTGTTTGATGAGGTATAAGTGATTGTTTTGTTCTAAATGCCAGAATTTGAAGTGAGGTTTGGTGTAGTGTTCTCGCTTCGAACAGGAAAACAGCAAATTGAGAGTATATCAATAAGTATCGGTGTTGTTGTTGTACTTCATATAAAGCAAAAAGCCATACAACTGACTGCATCAAAGTGGGACTCCACAGCATACATGCGTCAATCAAGCACGTTAGATATCAAGTACGAACTGCGCAACGTCAAAAGTGGTTTCTTGATGATTAAAGCCTACGTGGGTCACGATGTCTTGTGCTATTCGAGACCAATACAAAGCTCCTTAAATCATCTTCACAGGAGTATTGCCAGTTAGAATCACAAGGCAACACTAAGGGGACAACCCAACTGGTCATCACAGCGTCCAATTTGTCTCGCGGGAGGACAGGAAATGCAACGGAGTGGTGGGTCCCAAAGCAAAAATGAGAAAGCCATCCGAAGAGCCTCCGGTGAAATGGCTGTCCTCCTGTCTCAGGTATGTCCTTTGAGAGGCCGCGGGGTTTCCCCAGGCTCCCCCCAGGGGCTGACGTACCGGCCTGTAGGCCAGACGGCCGTCCTGGTATCCGGAGTAATGTTTTTTTAAATTATTTTATTTCAACAAGACCTTGATCCTCGTTTCAGGGTCAGAATCACAAATCTCTCAGTGCGATGAAGTCCAGAGGAAGTGGGGGGCAGGGGGGGGCAACATTCTTCTCTTGTGAGTTGCACTGATTAAAAACCAGGTTGTTTGAAGGTTATATTGCACAGCTTAAAGGAACAGTGGGGACAGAAAGGAGACCGGGAGGTTATTGGCTCTTGAGGTTTGTTACATGGGTGGTGACGCGGTGTCTGCTGTGCGGCCCGGCATTAAAAACACAAAGCGCGGCGGCATTGTCTGTTCGGACCTGGAGCCCACGCACGGGGCCTGAATTTGGGATAGAAGCCGCCTCTATGAGTCCAGAGAATCAGCTGAGGAAAAGACAAGAGACAAACATGAGAAGAGAAAGACAGTGCTGGAATAAAACGAAACACAATATGTTTTTTATTTTAATCTCTTAATCTCTCTCTTGTACTTTGATCTGCTAAGAAGCTGAACAAGATTTCCAATTAAAAATGAGTTACATCCTCAAAAACCTCAACACTAGTTTTATATTTTTCATTGAGTCATCAGTCTGTTTTTAACCTAAAAATTGTGTGTAGCTGTAAGACAAGATTGTGTCTCGAGCTTCTTTTTAAAATGTATTTTTTATTTCTGATGAAGTTTTTTGTTAGGATTTATTTAATTATGTAGGTTATAAGTAACTAAACCATGCATCATTGCGCAAAACCCTTAATTGTGAACTCTGTCATGTCACCTATTGTTAGCGAGGTGTCGTTCGCCACTCTGCCTCCATTACCCGCCTAACTCAATCACAAAATACTAAAACATCTGGGGGACTGGAAACTGTCCAAGAGATTTATTCTGACAGTCATGGAGTCTCCTGTCCCCCTACCTTCCTGTGGCGGGTCGACACTGATCTCCTCCGTCTCTCCTGTGTCCTCCTTCGCCTCCTCCGTGTCCTCCCCCATCTCTTCGTCTGCGATCGCGTCCTCTTCCAGCTCGCTGGCGATGAGCTGGCGGGCCAGCTTGATGTTCAGGCCCTCATTGTAGTGCATCTTCCTCATCATTTGAAAATGTGTCTTTTTGGCTGTGGAGGAAGACGACGTTAAAACAATTGTTCCAATCTGCCCAAAGCGCTGGTTGAACGCAAAGTTTAGAGTGGTTGACTATTGCGTTGGGTGGTATATTGGTTCAATTGGCCCATCGGTTCTAAAATTACATACGGTATGAATTTTCCATATAACGTCATAACACAACTGTTGTCGCGCTTCGGCTTCTGCTGATTTTCTACATTCATAGATGGAAGTTGCTCTGTTAAGACCTTCTCCATCTCCATTGTTTCTGACAAAGTTACTTTTTAAAAAGGGGTCAAGCTCTAAATAGGACACAATGATTAAACGTTTTTACATTTGTCATTGTTGAAGTTAACGATGTGAAGTTCCTTTGGACAATGACTCTTTCAAAAAAAAAAAGAAACGCATATTTTGTGTTGACCGCACGAAAAGGGCCGAGTAAAACATTTTTAAACTCTGTACAAAAAACTGCTGAGGCTACAGCTCCGCAGTCAAACTATATCGATCGTTCTCGGTTCCCGGAATGTGGCCGTGCCTTTACAGGGTTAGTTTAAAAATAAATAGGAAACAACGTGCTTTTCTACAATGTGACCGTTTGTGTGCGTAAATGTGTGCAAGCACATAGAAGGTCAAAGTACAGTCAAAGGGACACGGACAATGTGTGTGTGGGTCTTGAAAGACACAGTGACCGAGCACTGGAGTCCTTTCCAAAACAGATCCCTCTCCACCAGCACTTAACTGGGACTCACTCAGCTGCAGAGGACACCTGCTTCGTGTTGAGGTGAACTCTGGCATGTGAGGATAACGTTACACTGGGACTCGATAAATAAGGGCACAAGTAGGTTTGGATGTGAACAAGTAAAAGGAGGAATGAAAAGAATAGCCAAGTTGACCTTGTTCTTCAGGACTCAGCTCATCGTCCTCCTCCTCGCTGCTCTCCTCTTCCTCCCCCTCTTCTTCTTCTTCCTCCTTCATGAAGCGTGGCTCTGAGCTCTCTGCTGCAACCAGCCTTAAAAATAAGCAGAAAAAAACAAGACAGGGAGGGATAAGAAGTATAAAGGAATTGCCTTTTGACATTTTTAACGGCCGAATAGAGACGGGAGAAAATCAATAGCTTCTCCTAAATGCCTCACAGAGAGACTTCTGAGGAAGAGCCCTCTAAGGAGGGACACTGGCACGGGAGGAGAAGGACAGGTTTTAGGCAACGGGGGAGGAGTGCGCAGGCACAGTGAGACAAAAATAAGTTACTATCCTCGTCCCAACGGCAGAAGACAATATGAAGAACGGCGTACAGCTCAGCGGATGGCTCCCATTCACTGTGTGTATGTGTGTACACACACTACCGCTCTCCAACAAAGTGGCCTGGTTCACCCAGAAGGAGGACAGTCAATTGGCCTGCCGAAGGCACCAATAATAGTACCGGCTCTCCCAGGTGGATATGAAAAGACAGGCAGGAAGGAAGGAAGCAAGGAGGTGGAAGTGATGAAGTAAGTAAGCGTGAAGTAGAAATGTGTGAGAAGAGAGCGGACACGGCAGTGATTAAACACAAGGACAAGAGGGGCTGTTGTGGCATCTGGAGGGTTTAGTGTAAAACAATGCAAGGCGCTCCGTGTGCCAGTACGCAAAAGCGCCTAATTGACTTGCAAGCCTGGAGATAATCATGATTGTCTCTGCAGCACACGCGCGCACGCACGCGTCCAATCCCTGCATCAATTGACCTACATGAGAGCGGCTGATAAGCAGGAAGACTTTTCAGGGCGGTTTGCCCTCTCGCTCTCCACGTGCTCGTACACATGTGACCCGTTGCATTCTACACAAGTGGCTGCACAACTGTGATCTCTAACAGGATTTCTTTCTTTCCATGTTGCTCTGGATGTAGCAAAATAGTTAAATGAATAAAAAGCAATACTTTCAGAGCAGATTCTGCACAGCGTAAAGGAGATTATCTGTTGGCAGTTGACTCTTTTTTTTCAAATCATGCTTAAGTTTAAGAGGAATACGAAGCCGGCTGATTGTACAGATAATACGCATGCCACTGCAGTTCAGATCAATCCCTCATCTTTCATGACTATTTCATGGCTAATGGGAAGATCCTTTTAACTCTTTGTTACTGTGAAGAAAAAAAGCGGGAAGCATTTCCACGTTGCTTTTGTAAACGTGTGTTAGAGCAAGCATAAAAAAAAATACACAATCTTATTCGGTCCCCATGAATACGGTTCAAACCAGAGCAGTCAGAGAGTGATCGTACGGCCTACGGAGATGGAATCCAGAGAGTGTGTGTGTGTGTGTGTGTGTGTGTGCGTGTGCGTGTGCGTGTGCGCGTGTGTGCGTGCGCTACATGGCCCACAACTCTCTGCTAGGACCACTTTGTCCTGATGGCTGCCGTTACTCTCACCATCTCCGTCCCACCGGTGGATACAATATTAGAGTATATAATACACCAGGTGGTAAATACAAAATAAATATAAATTATAGATATGCCATAAGATTGTACTGTAGTACTTTTAATGTGTGGTACCGAATGCGTCTTTGCTTTATACCTCAGTGAAGTGGACACAGACTGTCTTAAGGACGACAGAGGCTGTAGAGTAAATACACACTTGTCAGTTATTGTTACAACACAATCTTGTTTGAGGAAACACAGACATTGGCGAGTGTGTTCAGGTGTGGCTTATTGGGGCGATACACCTCAGCGCATTAATGATTTTACTCCCCTTTTCCACAGTTATATCTCCTCTTCATCAAAAATCTAAAAAGCTACAAAGAGCTAAGCTAAAAAGAACTGATTCAAAAAAGGCTACAGAGGCCAAAGTCATCAGATTTCCTTTCACTTGCTGCTCTCTCCGTTCTCTACCACTGTGCTTTGCACTCGTTTCCCTCCATTCTTACTTTGATGTCAGGTCATCAGCTGCGAGTCCGCCACGGCCGTCCGAGTCGCTCAGCGCCCCTTCATCATCGTCTTCCCCCACCATCCTGAAAGAGAGCAATTAACTGAATGAAGATAAGGCGGCCAAGAGGGGAGAGGATTAAGGAGTGAGGGGAATATTAGACACAAACAGAAGCGGATAACCAAAAAGGGACAAGTTGCCAGAGGGCATTGTGGGTAGAGAAGAAGCAGAGCACTGGGTGGGGTGGGAGAAAGAGTAAAGGTCTGTGACAAGATCGACCTTCCCCAGCACATTGGATTACAAACCTGCTGAGGCGCACACACACAAACACACACACACACACACACAACGAACACACACACACAACGAACACACACACACAACGAACACACACCGACTCACACTGGCTCCGTTTGAAGGCCGAAACACGCTTTGGTCATTCAACGGGTACTGGGGTGTTACACATGCATCCAACACATGGCTCACGACGTAAAACATCATGACTCCACTGGAGTCCATCTTATTAACCGAAACCTTCAAAAGGGAGATTCTGACCTGTTGTAAGGCGTACTGGGTTCATCTATCTTCATCAGGCCGTAGTCCTTGTCAGCCGGATGGTACGTGGCCAGGATGTTCATCTCATCCCATTTCTGGGACTTCTTCCTGTGAAAAGAAAAACAAAAAAAAGAAAGGAGCAAAGAAATACAGTGAGATGGGAATGAGGTCTGGGTGAACCACTGAGCACCAGCTTTCCCGCCCACTACTCCTGCTGGGAGACGAGCCACGAGATCTAATCTGGGACTGACCGTGCCCCACTGTCGTCCTTTCACGTCGAGGTAATCCAGCGCGGACGTGAGAGCGATATTTGCTAAATAAGGGTACGAGTGTGAGGTCAAGCTTGGGGAGGAGGAGGAGGGGGGGGGGGGTAAGGCCAGAAGTCTGACACAAGTGTCGTTTGATATGGTTGATTTTTGTTCCGCTCGCTGAGGCCGACCCGTTCCTAATCCGCCATGTTGGTCTATTCTCTGGTGACCTCATTGACCTCTGCCTGTCCCTTTTTTTCAGAATGACTAATCCTCGCTGCAATTTCAAATCCTGAGAGGAGATGAACGGAGGCAAAGACTAAACCTGCATCCAATGAAACATTTTGCTTCAGAGGATAACACGAGAAACACCTGCCATTGCAGAAAAGGGGAGAGGAATAGAAACTCAGAAACGGGCTGCGTCGTTGCCTCCCTATTGTTTATCTGGTATCAAATACTTTGATTGTCATTTCTGTAGCCAATGGATGGAAGCCAAAATTACAGGCACATCTCTTCAGACTACGAGTGCAAAGGGCCAGAACATCTCCAAAGGAAAAAAGAGGGGAAAGTTTACCGGTGCCCACTGAGTATAGAACTGTTTGTGATGATTTTCAGCCCGAGGGAGGGTGGGGGGGAGGCGCTTCAGGACAACTCATTAAATAGAGTGCGTCCCCATCGAGAGCTGGGCTGTGCTATCAGGTCACACGGTCAGAGAGTAGTGAGTGAAGGGCCGGCCCGCCGCTGCCCGGACCCACCGACAGGAACAGCAGCGCCAGCGGACCCAAACGCACACAACATACTGCTGGCACTGCTCAAATGTCGGCCGTGTTCGGACCTTTGAATCGGCCCGTTAACGGCAAGCGGCAAAGAGAAGGGCATGTAAGGAGTTGGACACCGGAGGAATTCCTCATTCAATTGGCCGGTGTCCCATTCACAGACAAACTACCAAGAATCAACTGAATTATTGTTATGTCCTAAAGAATTTACATGAAGTAACTTTTGTTCTGAAGCAATTTTGTCAAAATCAACCCTTTTTTTAACACAGTCCCTCTCTTTACCAAAATAGAAGAATGTAGATTTGCTATTATTTTATTAATGCATTTTTATTTTTCCCTAAATTAGGTTTTTCTCCTTTTTGGCAGTTATACACTCAAACTAAGCCCAAACCACTTCTTCTCGAGGCAGCAGATTTAGGACTAATGCGATTCCTTAAGCGCCCGTCATCCCTCCACGCTTTAGAAAGTGCATTAGCAGAAAAGCAGAGTAATGGAGGAGGCATTGAATTCTCTGGCCACATCAGCAGTCATCGTCATGGTTAAGGTCACCATGTTGAAAAGAAGGCAATGTCTTCAACAAAATATGCCACGGATTTTTCCTTTTTAAACTCACTGAGTAACATTTTCGGTGAAGTGAATCAAAAACAGATTCACATTTTACACTCAATACATTAGCCACCTTTGCACAAAGAGTCCAGCATTTATTTGGTCCCGAGGCACAAAATGCGCATGAGTCATCGTAGATCAGAGGTGTGTTCCGACAACTGTTGATTTGGACTCCGTTCCAGACTCCTCATCAATACAGAAACCAAACTCCTTTACTGGGCCCACAGTTGTCCTCAACTGACCTGTACGCAGGAAAACAAAATGTCCCACGGGTCTTTTTCAATCCATGAAGATCTAAAGTGAGAGATTCACTACCCGCCATCACACGGTCAGGGCGAAGGAGCGATTGAGTTTCATGGAGGCATCGTGAATTAAACATGACGAGGTGTGTGTGAGGGCAATACGCCGCTGTAAACTAAATAACGGCGGCTGGTTGAAGGGATAACAAAGGCAGGCCGTCTCTAATGAGTGGTGACGGCCTTACGGTGTTTAAAGGAAATGAACTGGAGCTGCAGGTTAAATAAAAGGCCAATAGTGAAGATACTTGACACACTGGAGAATCATAGTTGTATCAGAACATATGCTAACTCACACCGACACATTTTTCCTCCACTTCCTTGTCACTGACAGAGGGACTATTTGTGTATCAACATAGAAAAGGGCTGGCTTCGCTGCTGGGAATGGAATTCATTAACACCTCCCATCCTTCTATGGCCTAATTATTCACACTGTGCTGCTTACCTGCTAAAGTATCGAGTGAGACACGAGGAGCATATCATCCCTATGCAGCGTTTGTAATTGACATACACCATGTGCCGTGTCATCCATGTTGATCCAATGATCAGGGGCATCGTACTGTAGCAGAGCATTTGGTCTTACGACTTCAAATTTGTACTGCTGCCAACGCCAACTGTTACAGCTGGCAGAATCCCCAGCCTGCACTGACGATTCGGCAGCATGTATTGCAGGTGGGAGGTGTTGTTCATCACTGACTAGAAGTGAGATAATTCAATCGATGTAAAGCCTTAAAGGCCTTTCTTTATTTCTGGAATTGTCTTTTAGATCACAACGGCATCTCTTAAACCGTGTTCTTTTAAAAACAAAGAATTATCTTCGTTTTTAATTGTTTCCAGGTCAAGTACACTTTGATATGTTCAAACCGTGGTGGGATTCGTACCAGCAACCCAGTCAGCATGAAAGAGCTGCCCACAAAGCCCTGCCACCGTTTTATGCCACGGGTCGCTTTTACCCTTTTATCCTGTTACTCACAGGTGCGATTACGTAAATAGCTTATAATGTCCAACAGTTTTCCTAATCTCATAGAGCTGCAGCTATGCAAATGAAGCCACGCAACGCATTTAGGTGTTTCAGCATTTTAACCTTCTGGCCGTGGCGACACGATGCGCCTTTGTTATTGCAAATGTCCCTGACACTGCAACAACAGCGGATTTAGAAGTCCCCAGCAGGTTCTCAGAGCATTACACCTTGAGATCATTATGGAGCAGAGTAAGTCACACAAACTGTGGGACTGTTTGCATTCCCACGGTCATCTCCTGTGCGATGTTCTTGACCTGGGCCCACCTGAGGCCACCCCATTAGTCGGGCGTTCTCTACAGAGTAGAAGAACCCAAACGATCATCCAGGGTGAGATCCTGATGACGTCCATGGAGCGCACAGTAAAGATGTCCTCTGCCAGAGCATCCATCAGAGGTTTTAAGCAAGATATTGTTTTCTAAGATTTCTAATTCAAAGTTGAACAAACCTTCACAGTGGCAAAACTTTAAACTGTACTACTAGATCAGAGCTGGTCTGGATCTTATTCCATCTAATGTAACATGCGTTTGTTCTTCATTTTAGCTAGCAGAACCCATCTCTCTTACATATGCAGTGAAATCTTCTAATGACACGGTGAGCTAACGTTACGCTGTTTAGGCCATGCCAACAGGGGGGTTGGGGGATTGAGAGGGGGGGCACAATGCTTCCTGACGTAGCGGCTATGGAGATCTCCGTGTAGGTGCATTGGCCCTATAACGCTACTGTTTTTCGTTAGTTAAAGTATTAACAACCCCCAGCTAAGTTATACTTGTATCACCACAGTGTCACAGCTCATCCGCCAGAGTTTTGGTAACCGTAACTACTGATGTGAACGTTTTGTTAAGACACCGCTACAGCCACCGGGGGTCCTCTGGAGTCACCGGCTAGTCAACATGCTAACGCTAGCGTTAACTTGACAAACGACTTCTAGAGATAACCGTTAGCTGCCGGTTACACGCGCTATCAGGACGTTTACCAGGGAGAGAAACTTTAGTCGCGCAGTTAATAAGGAACGGACTGCACATCATGCAGACTATACATGTCTGACTTTTTTTGTTACGAATAGACAAGAGGGCGGGTATAGAGAGGCTAACAAGTGTTTAGCAAGCTAACGTTGCCTGGCTAACGATCTCACGGCGGCGAAGCAGAATACTTACTGCGGGTCATCATCCTGGAGTACGGGGGCTTGTTCAGGACTGTCTCCCGGTACTTCCTCGGGGAGCGATTCGACGGTCGTGTCGCTGTTCTTGTTTTTCAGGATGCCTTTTATCGGGCGGGGGGCTGCCATTCCCACACGCTGACTGGCCGTCGGACCCGGGCGGGCTCGACTGTTTCTCTTCCACTAACTTCCTAATGCTGTGATTTTCGCCCCTCAATCAACGTTGTTAAAGACACAGTCGATTTTAAACATGCTCCGCGTTGGTACTCAGTGGTCTCCCCATAAACTAACGTTAACTATAAACCTATCCAGAAGTCTACATGCGCTGGAGGTTCTGCATGTCTGACGTTAGCCGCTCTCCGGTTGTTGTTCACTGACTGGTGGCGCGAGAGCACTGTGGGTACTATGCTCATGACATCGCGAGATTTACAAAACGCGATTTTACGTCAACAAACGCTGCCATTCTGTGCTCGGAAATTTACAAGTTAAAAGGGCACTTTTAAGCTATGTGTTTTATAAGAACAGACTTTAACAACAGCAGCAAGTTGGAGTAACCGACAAAGGAGGAGGACTAAATGTCAATGTGGTGTTTTTAATTCTTAGAAATCCAATCATCATCTTTTTATTGATTTATTGAAACCCTCAACATATCCAGGCCCAAATATGGTGTTTGAACCTTTAAAAAATAATTGAAATGAAAATGCATTTAAAAAAAGTTATAGCTGTACAGGGTTAAAGGGGGCAGAGGACGCCATTGTTAGTGCTCTAAGCTTGCCCCTACTTTTTTTAAACACCAATTTGATGAAAACATCAGATAAAACTGATTTTTAAATCTTTCTTTTATTTGTCAACATCGACATTTTTGTTTATTACTATCTCTGGCTGAGCACACAACAGAGAGGTATAATTTTAAGCCTGAGACCCAGTCCTCAGTTGTCTTTCTGAAGGATTCTTCGTCGTTCAGAGTTATTCAGGCCGGGGGTGGCGATGCGAGATCCATGGGGAGTTGAGCTGATGGATGACGGATCTGGATGAAAGTGTCAGGCCATGTTGTGGACACGCTTCCTGATCAGGCTCCGTGCTATGCTCAACTGCTCCAACCAAGACTTCTCAGTGAAGGTACTGTATAAGAGAAACATGCGTTATCCACAGAAGAACAAAGCTGTCATGTATGCTGTTATGCTCTATGTCTCACTAATTAATCACGTTAAAACATCCATGCAGAACATAAATCCGTCACTAGTAACATACAGGATTTCAAACACAAAATTGTTTGGTTGAAAAACTATTTTTATTTAGCCATTCATGAGATCAAGCACAATGTGTTTGTATTGGACATACAGTGTATAGCAGTAAGGATAGAGACCTGGCTACGGTCAAGCAGTATATGGCTTTCTCCCTCGCCGTTCGGCTGCAGTGGGGAGAGATGGACTCCGGCGTCGCAGTCAGAATACTCTTTCTCTGGGGATTGGGGATTGGCAGAAGTTTGAACTTGCTTTTACATAAACTGCAAGCATCCCTACAGATTCTATCCAATAAGTGATCCTCCCGGCTTCGGACATCTTGATTGTGCGTTATCTGCACCTCTTTAAAGTGACCAGGGCTCACATACTGCAGGCTGGGGGTTTGTGATACTGAAGGTAGGTTACAGATGGGAGGTAATGACTGCACAGCCTTGATTCGTCTGCTTGGTTTGGTCGCAACTTTCACGGATTTGGAAGACATATTTGGCTGATTGAAGCCGTCCACCAGCAAAGTATCCCCCATCCTGGCATTGAACGCAGCACGGGTGTACTGGCATCGATTGGATGCTGCCCTTTTGTGCCCCAAACTCACCCAGCGTTTTATCTGGATGTAGATGCGCATGGGCAGGGATATGTTTGGCAGGGATACCAGCGAACACAGCTTATTGGCTAAATAGTGCACACAATCGCTGTGACCGTGCTGAACAGCAACTTTCAAAGGGTCCCGACCTCCGGGGTCCCGACAAGCCAAGGCCAAAAGGTTTTTGCTGATGAAGAGCTTGAGAATGAGAAGCTGGCCTTTCTCTGCAGCTGTGTGTATGGGACACTTTCCGGTGTCTCGATGGGAGGTTTGGTGGCACCACTGGCGGTAAGGATGAACCCCCACTGGTTTCTCAGCACGCATCCCTCTCTCCAGCAGCCAACAGGCCAGGTCCAGGTGGCCCAAAGCGGCAGCAATGTAGAGGGCTACCTGCAACTGAAATCTGGATAAGCAAGAAAGATTCTCATTGGTGTGTAAAATTGCACTCTGACTCTTTATGGATGAGTTGCACTACAACAGTTCTGCCTCATTGTTTATTCATGTTCATGTTGGTTATCTCTGACCTCTTTACTGGTATCTTTTCTAAGAGGTGGCCTTGGACTGTCAATCTGCGGCCCCGGAGGCAACCCCGAAGGAACTGTACCCACCCATCCCATGTGTCCAAACGGAGAGTGGTGCCTTTATTTAAAAAAGACAAACATGTCACTTTGGTCACTTTGAACATTGTTTTGTGCAGGCATTTGGAGGGATTGAGAATTCTTATTCTATAGTGCAACACTTAAAATGAAGCTCTTTTACGTCTTTGTATAGTTAATACATAGTCAATATCAGCCAACATTCAGCACGCGAAAGCTGTGTATATTATACAATTTAAAGCAATCCAGTCATTTAGAAGAAAATACCTGATATCTAACTTTTGACTGATTCTATTGAATGTTCTCAGACTGTTCACAATTGTTTAAGCTGCAGAGCACGCACCGTTAAGATGCCCGTAACAGCCACACAGGCAGGACATACCCTCTTTAATGGCATAGTCTTTGAGTTGGTTGCAGTCATAAAGCTGCACACCAGCAGGTGTGCTCAGTCTGAAGGTGCTAACTGGGAGGCCAGTTTGCATGGAAACCACCGTTTTCAAGTGAGCAACAGACATGTGCAGAGAAGCCTCATTTCCCATGACCGGTAAGGTTTCTTGTGTCACAGCATTGAACAGCCACATCGCAGGCCTTTGCTCACTCTGAAAAACAATTATAAAATTGTGTTAAACCAAAGAATAACAAGACTTTAGACCTAAGATGTATCCCTGTGTTAATAAAATAAAATCTGTCAAGAGGTCAGCGGGTATTAGTTTCACATTTAACTTTTTTTAGATTTGGGAGATCATTTATTCTTACTATTGATTATATTTTTGTGTATTGTGATAAATACAGTGATACAAGCCAATAGAAGGAAGGGTCTGCTGCCACTCTGTGGTTGTGCCGTAAAGTTTAGATTTTTTGTCTGTGTAACTTTCTGTAACACTTTTATAAGAATTTGAACACATGCAGGTTTGATACTTTCACATTAAAAGCTTTTGTGTATGTGCAATAAAATATATTTTCGTTTAAACACTGAACTGCACTTATCTGTTTATGTACATAGAATACATACAAATAAATAGCTTCTGAATTGAAGGCCTAAAGAAAATATGGACTTCAGCATCCTCCCTTGATGTGCATCATTGATAGCTGATTATATTTACTGCAAATACCAAAACCCCTTTTTTAATGCATAAACACCTTTATCAGACATTGTATGGCTCTGCCATTTGTGATGCCCACGTCAAACAGAGCCCAGCTGTCCTGCAGCACCGCTCCACCGTGGCTCAGCTCCAGGTACTGCTGCTGTTTGTCATATGAGAGTCGCACCATAAAGTTGTCCTACGGAAACACAGAGTGGATATTTATTGAGCTGTTCTAGAGATTTGGCCCAGAAAGAAAGTTCTTGATTGATCATGTTCACCTGCATCTCTTGTCTCGCAATAATGGAGATATTTGTTTTTTCTTGACATATTAGTTACTAATAACAGTTTTGCAATGCATAGCGTTTAACCATAAGCAACATCATGCCTCAAAATAAAATAAATCCATTAAACAGTCTCTTTTCCCTGCCGTAATATGTCTAAAAAAAACAAACGGTGGTTCGTTACCCCTTGGACATGATTGTAGCTTTTTATTACCTTTATCATGTGCTTCACGGCCCCCACAGTCTGATCTGAAGGGACATCAATAGGCTCACTGGAGCCCTCGAAGCAGATAAAGATCCTCATGGTTGGAACAACCTGCCTCCAGTTGTTTGCTCCTCTGTGATGCTCTGGTCGACCAGAGTGTGTGTAGTAGGGTTGTCTGAGCCATTCTCATCGTAAAAGTCATTGTACAGAGGGGGCAGGAGCTGGGTGGGAAGGATTTGGGGAGTTGAATTTAACAAGTCATCAAAGGACAAAGCACTAGCTGCCTTAAAAAAAAGTGCCTCAAATGCCAGGAATATCATTTTGGTTTGTTGGTTTGGTTTTATTTAAGTCAATCCATTTGGGTTATAAAATGCTTTCTTTGATACGTGGTTTCATTTTTGCTCAACTTTCCAACTGAACCATCAAATAATGTTGAATAGTAAAATCTCAAAGTGCAGGTAAGACAGATAAAATGGATTAAAAAGATTAAAAAGTATGTTGGTGGCTGTATGGAAAATTAAATACCCCAGAGACTGGCCTTGGTAATTACAAACCTACAATTTAAATGTGCAAATGTAATACCCACTCTCTGACTGGTATTTACATAAGTGGCTGTCTGTATAAAAACAATCATAGTATAGCCTTATACAAGCCTATCTATCAAAGAGAAATAATAATAAAATGTTGTGTTGCACGTATCAATTGTCCTTTATCAATTTGGTCTCATCCATACACGTGATCTGCCTTTGTTTTTACAGCAGCAATGGGCATAATATCGGTTGAGAGGACTGTTGTTTTGTCTATTCTGTTCTACTCAACTGCAGTACATGAACATATTTGCAAAGTGGATCATCACAAGACAAAAATATTTTTTTCTCAGTTGCAAACGGAATAAGCTCTTTGCGGTGGTGCCTTTTTGTGTGAGGGACTACCTGCTGGTGGAACATTACAGTTTCAAATGTTCTTTGAAAGTTTTACAGGGTACAGCTACTTTGCATCTGACCTTTTAAAGTTTGACACTGTCCACAAAGTCTTCGGTGTTCAGCCAAGAGGGACTTAGGTTTCTCAAGGTTCAAGAAACAGAAATAAAATCTAGGCATACAAATGTACACATCAATTTAGGGTTATTGTATGAACTTGTAATATTATATCATATTTATATCATCAGATTTTAAATAAACTTTTATTATAACGATTATCTACAGTAGTGTCACAGGTACAGCTTAACAGTTGTGTGATCAGTCAGAAAAAAACTTCAACCTCTTGTTTGCAAAAGCACTGATCATACTCAAAGGATTCCGTAAACAAAGATGAGCTCCGTTTACTATAGATAGAGGGTGCTAGAGATTAAAAAGTGTGATCTGTTTTCATTTTTTTTTAGGGTGGATGATGGTAACATTGGTGATGAAGAATAAATGCACACTTATTTCCAGATAGAAAATACAGTTTCTACAGAAACTCCATGGCTCTCATAACGCACTAATAGAGCTGTAATGAAGCTCTAAATAAAGACTCTCTGCTCGCCTCGGGCCGCTCATACAACTGGTAAAACGCAGCTAACGTTTGCGTGCGCCGTCACGTGGCTATGTTTACGTCTGGAGTCACTTCCGGAGTCAGACGATCGACACACGATTCGACCAATCGGGAGCCGAATGTGGATCGGCGCATGTGGCGGAAACCAGAGAAGGTAGCCTTCCGAGGGGATTAAACCGTAACGTTTAATGTTCACGTTCTCCGACCCGTCGTTCTAACGGGATGAAGCCCAGCCTAAATATTCTCCGCTGTAAACGTTGCTTGGCACGACGCGCAGCCGCGGAGAGAGATGTCACCGCCCGCCGCTAAATCCCCGGACAAGACAAACCTCCGGGCAGAAATTGAGGTAAACACCCACGAAAGACCCAGTAGCTACCTCCGTTAGCCTCACGCTAGCGCGGAGGGGGTACCGGGCGCTCCGTGTTCGCTGCACCCCGCGAAGGTTCTCCACGCCCGATCAGTGATTTATTTAGCTGTAGCTACAACTATACTCCGAGGAATGTCCCACTTAAAGGCGACTGGTTTAAAAACAAACAAACATGGGAACCGTAACCCCAAGTTAACCACTGACATTTGGGGGTGTGAAAGTTCAACGGGGACATCGCATGGTTGTTGACCGCATCTGCTGTTGGGTTTGCCATTGACTGTTTTGTTCTTCGCTGATTTTAAGTAAACGTCTCGTGGTAAAATGTGATGTGTGTCATTTGATGTCATCTTCTGATCAGGGTGCCGGGGGTTGCTGCTCTCACTTCCCCTTGTGCTTCCCTGCTCATTTCCCATTCAGGACCCGCCGTCTCCTCTTCTCTTCTCTGCTAAAAACAGTTTATAGATTTGAGTGAGAGAATGGAGAACGTGTTTATAACGTGTTGCATGGCGCTTACATTTACATTCAGGGTTGGATGTGATGATGTATACTATGCGACAAATGCGAGTCCAAATACAAGGGGCAGCACAGAAAATACATTCCTGTTTTATTACAGTCCGTAAATGGTTTTGGTCCCTGTTTTTAAATGATCAAGAGCTACATTTTTATCTTGATTTAGTAACAACTGCATACTAGGAGTGAAATCATTAATTTTTAAAGAGATGGATTCAAATATTGCAAAATAAATTGTTTTCATTAATGGAAATATCATTTTATTTATGCCAATAAAACGGTACACGTCTGCATTTTCCAATTTTTTTCCAATCTAAACGTACATTTAGTAACTAATGAGGACAGTTGCTACTAAAGCCGGCGTTCCCATCTGATTTGAACTTCTGCTTTGATTTCATCGCTGAATAAATATATTTCATCTATTCAAAGCATTACGGCTTGAATACACGGTATAAACCAGACCATTGGGGACGTTTTACACCCATTGATTTATTCATTTGATAAGAAAACATCCTTGCTTTCATCCAAACGTACACAACAAACCTTACAATCCTTACACACTACTTGCCTTTGCAGCGTGACTTCTCACATGCTGCCATCCGCTTTGGGGAGTCGTAGCTCTCATGCTGCAATGTTAGGCCCAAAGTTCCCCTCCTTCTACATGAGACAACTGGCTAGCTCATAAACATAACACATGCAAACGGGAAGCTATGCAGGAGCTAGCAGCACAAGGGCTAATGGAATTTTCTTTTGAAGGGGCAATTGTTTTTAAAAACCGCTGGTAGCTTTTTGTCTCCAAAAGAGTGCACATTGCTTTTTGTGGGGTCTGTGAAAGAAAAAGTAGGTAGGCGGGAAGCACTTGTGCAGCAAGATGAACCACCAATAACTAATATACATGACGAGTGAGGCAGTTAGAAGACCAGATGAACAGGCGGAGGGTTGGACGGTGCTCTGGTGCCGCAACCAGCACGACGTCAAACACCCCAAAATAGCATCAAACCGTCCGCCACTCCGACAGCAGAATCGCAGCACCGTTAATCAATGAGGCCAAATTAGGACTTGGGGGCCAAATATGGACTTTTCTTTTTAAATACTTAAAAATAAATATGTGCATTCAAATCGTTGGTATTTCATCAGCATATGTAGTTCAAGCGTTACGTGTATACAAACATGAAACTTGTGTCTTTCTCCAGGTGTGAGGCCTGAGTGCGTGGTCATCCGTCTGTGTGTGTGTGTGTGTGTGTTTATGGTTGTGTATGTTTATGAGTGGCGGAGCAGCTGGGGGTTGTAAGGTGACGCCAGGATGCTGCTGTCCCTTGGAATGCTGATGCTGTCGGCCACACAGATTTACACCATCTTCACTGTTCAGCTCTTCGCCTTCCTCAACCTGCTGCCCGTGGGGGCCGACATTGCTGCCGTGAGCAATTGCCACAATAACGGTGGGATTCCCTTCTGTAATAACTTGAATCGGAGGTCATTCAGTTTTTTTTCTTCTGTCTTTCAGTACTCGTTTGACAACAAAACGGAGAACTTTGACGATCTGCCGGCGCGGTTTGGCTATCGGCTGCCCAGCGATGGGCTGAAGGTGAGCGCCGATTCTGTTTTTATTTCACTTTACATCTACATTTAAAGTTTAACCACAAAAACAGAAATGAATAAAAAAGATATGTTAACTGGGTTAAAACAAAACTAGTTAACTAGTTACCGATTCCACCTTTCTAGTTTGCATTAGAAAGCGGCAGAAATCGGGATACCTTTTGAAAAACTGCTCTATTGAGGATTGTGATCAATGTGTGTTGTGTGGACGCAGCAGCACGCACACTGCTTAATCCACAAAGTACACAAACCGAAGGGGTGATTCACGTCTGCCATCTGAACTGACCACTGTCGCGTTTTCCACAGCCGCGAGTTGCCCAGTTGTGGCCGTTCAAAGGCGTTTTAGTGCTCAGAAGCCAGCTGATGCCTTGTTTGTTGTTTGTGTATACGTGCAGGTCAAGTGCGGCGTGTTTGCACACTTGTAGTTGCTGCCACGTACCCGAGTCTTGTCTGTTTAGCAGCAAAGCATCATTTTGCCGTTCCGCCGCGTGAGGGGTGATAATACGGTATATTTTAGGAATCAAGCCTGTGGTTGAGTTGCTCGGATACGTTGGTCTCCAAGCAGGAAGTTTGGACACAACCTCAGACTGTTTCTACTTCCTGTTTGCAAATCTCTTGTTTTAAAAAAGAACCTCTCTTCAATTTAACACCAGAAGAGTTCTGACATTTTACAGTTTCAGAATATTGGAACCAGCTGAGCCTTGAATTAATCGCCTCGATTAATTTGAGGAATCGTTTCAATTTAATGTACTGCATGTATACGCATCTATGATTGTTGATATATGCCTCACCGTAGGCAAGCTGTCACCCGGCAAACCGCAGGGATTATGGCCCACTGTCATATTGCCAGCTGGTGGGAGATTGGGGGGGGGGGTTCAGCACATTACGTAAGACTCGGGTGTTATGAAAGCTGAGAATTGACACGTGTCTGTGTCACCCGCTCTCTGTCTTAAATTCTCATCTGATCTGACGAGTCTTATATTTCGCCGCTGCTGTTTAAGTGAGTGTGTCCGTCACAGGGAGGGACAGCGTTTCGGCTGTGATTTACAGTATGTCCACATCATCGCACCATTAGCCGCGTTTTCAACAGAGTCACAGAAAAAGTAGAGAAATCCAACCCTTTCATCGTGGAAACACACTGCAGATTTCCCCCAGAACATATTGAACGCCCCATTAACTGCTGTTCAGATAATGATCGACCCCAGTAAATTCTGTGAGGTTAATGCTATTACAGGAATTAATCTCTTTTAACATGAATGCACTCTGTCCCCACTTACACATTGAGCAAATGCTTCCCTAATTCACACACGGTGAGGTTTGAGGAACACCGTGCAAAAAGTCATTCGAAACACAAGCACTCTCTGCAGGGCCTCACGTATGTGGCAATATGTAATGCGTAGACACTGTACGGTAGGAGATTCAGGTAACGTGTTTTGTTATTACGAGACAAACTCATTCAATATGCTGCAGCCCTGCGGCGCTGCGATGCCCCGAGAAACCTCCGGCATCACAAGGCAGCACAAGCCTGTTTACTCTGGGACGTTTGCCTACAGGGAAAGAGGCTTCACACAGAGCCCTCCCTGTTTTCTCTTACACAACCGGGGCTGTTTACAGTCCTCTGCAAGCCTGCGTCCACCTACAGTATGCTACGCAAATGTAGCGTCAACTAACTATCGCACAGCCATCGCTGAATTGGCACAAAGGGGGAACGAACAGTACAAGTACCTCAAAAGCATCACAGCGCTTGATTTAAACGCGCTTTGTGACTTTCCACTATTAAAGGAGTAACGGAAGTAAAGGATATCGTTTTTTCCAACTTCGCTGCAGAGACAATATATAATAATATATAACCCAGAGGTGGACATCAATTTTTTATTTCATAGAAGGCCAGTTTTTGCCTCAATTACAGTGCCAAGGTTCAGCATTCTCATTCTAAAAGTAACCATGTTCCATTCTCCAGTAAATTCTCAACAGAAACCACATGGCATTAAGGATTCCATGTATGTCCCTGCGTACGCTGATCAGTAGTCTGAGAAGAAATGCTGGTTTGCTCTGGAAAATCTTTCAATGACTGACTTATCATGCAGCAGAATAGACCTCCTCTCATCAGCTGAGAAGTACCACATTTGGCATCAACCTCTGCACAGTAATTCCCTTCCATGGAAATGTAGATCCATTCGTTTGATGTTGTGGACCGTAAAGAGGCGGCAGGAAACACTCCCTCCATGTCACACGTCGCCTTCGTTTCACGCCGCAACAAACGAGTTATGGAAACTTTGCATACAAGAGGGCTGGAAGCTTTAAGTGGATAATGACACATCAGATATTTGTGCTGGTTTCCACTGAGCTGGAGTGGTTCTTCCTCCAGTCGCTCCGGTGCCTCCCTCACTTTAAAGACGTGCAGGTTTGGCGATCCGAGAAATCACAATCGCCCGAGGGTGCGATTGTCAGTCAGCGTGTGAGCACCTGCATCCGCTAAATTCAGGGGAATTCAATTGCGATGTCTTTTTAACAAAATAATCCCCAATCTATTAGCTTGTCCGCATAGCAAAGGCGTCAGCAAAGATACGACTTAAGTGTGAAGATGAAAGAAATTGAAAGCTCTCAAAAAGCTTATACGTGGACGTATTGAAAGGAAACTGCCTGAAGGTTCCTGGACTCCACATCGAGAACTACCTCTGCTTTGCTCCAGGCCAAATGTGTGATCCCGAACACGGATAGTTTCCGTCGGTGTCGATGACCCGCTGTACGTCCACAATGACTAATCTAAACCAAGTCATGGTGTCCTATTGGCAGTTAGAACTTTGTAGTGCTCTTTGTTCTTTTGAGGGAGCTTCAGGCATATGTTGTTTCCTTTCCTCACCCTTGTTGTCTCAGCGGGTCTAGAATGTGACCCAGAAACATTATTTTCACATTTATATCTGTGCCGGGAGGGGGGGGGGGGGGTTTCAATGAATGTGAGTGTGGAGTCACGCAAGCTTTAATCTCCTTCCAGGAAGCGCCGGTCAGGCTACAGCGAGTTATTCATTCCTCTGTTCTGGGTCTTTTATATGAACCCAAGCAGAGCAAATCTGCAAACAAGCCCTATGGTGAGACTGTTAGAGACCAGATTACGTGTGATCACTTTGCAATCACTCGGTACAGTGCGGCTGAGAAAATCCGCTTGCATTCTGCAACATCAGAAAATCCCTCTTGCTCTGCGGTGGAAACAACAATGCATGTATGTGGGGACGGGAATCTTTCGCTGAATTCACACATGATCTTAGATTTATTGATGACTTGGAAGGATTATCAGGTATCACCATGGCATGTGTGAAGTTCAGTTTCAAGCGTCACGTTCCCTGGTAAGAGCAGTAATTTGAGTGACGCATTGTTCAAGTTGTGGTATCTGGAGAGGAAATGGTTTGATAAATGTATCCCCGGCTACAATAGGTAGTGACGCAGTCTGGTTGGTGATGAAGTTTCTGTGTAAACCAACTATCAGCCACTTCCTAATCTTGATGTCACCACAATGCCTTTTCACTTCAAAGGCGCCGCAATATTTAATCATGCAAATGAATAACAATTTGCCGCCGGTATCCTTACAACACAAGCCTTCACATCGTGTGCCTTTTTCCCCACGTTGTCTTTATTTCCCAACAGTCAGTCGATAAGAATTTGCCTAAATGAAGTCGGTGTTATTTATCCAGGTTCATGGGGCCGGCAGGATCTCATATTCACAGTAACGGCAGCACTATATGATGATTGAAATATAAATATGATCACACAAAGCTTTGAGTTCGTCAGATCAGTGGGGGGGTATATGATCAGGTTACAGCGCTATGACCGTAGGAAAATTACAGGATTTCCCCTCGTTCCAAAGTTATTTCCTGTTGTTCCGCTGCCCCCCCCTCCCCCTTTCCTCCTCTCCGAAGTGCTTAGCTGTGTTCAGAAAATGGTGCTGTTGTTCTGCCCAATAGAGGGCGCCCTTGCAGCTGTGTCAAACTGGCACGGGGAGTGTGAGGCGGTGGCGCGGTGATGTCATCTCACTGCAGGGGCAGGGCTGTGATGGAGGCGGTGCGTGGTTTCCCCCTCATGTGACAATTTCACTGATCTTCCTGATCCCAGAATGGGACTTTTCACACGTCAGCCCTCAGTAATGTCGGACTATAACCGGGCGAGGCACTCAGCCTGAAACTCTGCCTCCTCTTTTCTTTTTTCTTTTTTCTTCTGCGGCTTCGCTTGAATTGTTTGCAAATGTGACGTGTCACCGTGGCCATTTTCCACATGTGACTCAGCTGCAGTGTGGCAGCCGCGAGGATGCACTCAGAGAGTCAGTCTGCTGCTGAAAGCAACCCTCACTGTGTGTGTGTGTGTGTGTGTGTGTGTGTGTGTGTGTGTGTGTGTGTGTGTGTGTGTGTGTGTGTGTGTGTGTGTGTGTGTGTGTGTGTGTGTGTGTGTGTGAGAAAGTGCTGACTATTTGATTTTGCTGGCGTTTTTTTGTGTGGGTTGGCTTTAAGATAGAGAGAGTTGAAAATGGCTGGGAGAGTCCCACAGTGGGCCTGTCTTCCTGTCTACCACCCTGCCGCTGACACACACACACACACACACACACACACAGAGGTGTTAGTTACCTCCTAAGAGCAGCCGAGGTTTAGAAATCTGCTCTATGATATCACGTCCCTCCCCCCTCGTCTCCTGCATATTTTCCCTTCATGATCTTTGTTTTTCCACTTTTCTCACTTCTTCTTTCTGTTTTTTCCATTTTTTGTCTTTCTCAAATCATTTTTTTTTTGCTCTGCAATTCAGCATCTCTTTGATTACCTTTGCCTCCATGTTTGTGTCTGTTGTCCACCTCTGTTCTCCTTCCCTTGATCGCCCCGTGAGCCACTCTCTCTCACACCCTCTTCCTCTCTCTTCTTACTATCGCCGTCTCATCAGTCACTTCAAAAGCTGCAGGAAATGGGACTAGGACAGGAAGCGGCAGAGGGAGAAAGATGGGAAATGCAAGGTCCAAACTGAGAACACCAGCTGTCTGGAAAGCTCTTAGACTTCACAAAAAAGGCAGAAACTTGTAGGTTGTTCTGGACGTATAAAGGCTTAATTATGCACCCATCGCCATGTTCAATTTCCGTTTTGACTTTGCCACTGTTGCATCTGCGGCTTCTACAGGCTACGTGTCCGCATTTTCATTTAAACCCTTGTCTTGGATTGTCTCCAAGCAGCGGGCGGGCTGAACAAAGATGGCGCTGCGCAGGCCGGGATATCACTGTGCCGTCTTAAGGCACACCTGTATACGGCATAGAGGCTCGCTGAACAGGTCCCCAATTCTGCATTTTATTGACAAAAGGGTGGATTCCTATCTTGGAATGCTGTTCCCTCACAAAGGTTTTTAGAAAGCCGGAGAAAACATCTTGTCCACCCGGGTCTGGTGACTTGCCATGTTCCTGTGAAGCCGCTGTTGTTCATCACTCTGGCTTGTAATGATTTCTGAAATCATTGTCAGCTGTGAGTAGTAATAGTAGATGTGAGTTGAGTCGACGCCTCCAGGGCAACTCTTGATTCAAGCCATCGATGCTTCTCTCTCCCCGTGTCACGTCTGACGATGTCATCCCCACAGGGCTTCCTGATCGGGGCGCGACCAGAAAATGCGTGTGAGCCCATCGAGCCCCCGCCCAGGGACAACATGACGGGCGCCTACATCGTCCTCATCAAGCGCTTTGACTGCAACTTTGACATCAAGGTACAATGAATAAACTGGCTTCTGTGTGTGTGTGTGTGTGTGTGTGATGCGGTACTTGTGCTGTTAATAAGTCGTTGAAGCCGCTGAAAGTCGAGTGAGGCGGCCCCCGGGGGCCACGGACGGAGGTGAGGGCAGCGTAAGTTGTGTATCGGGGGAAAAAATGATGGTGTTTGTTTAATCCGACTCACGACTTGAAAAAATAGCACAGCGTCTGACCCTCCGTTAAAGCTTAACTGACTTGCGTGAAGTCAAACGCAGTGGCAATGAGTTAACCCAGGATTTTGTTTTCATGTGGGTCAGTGGCAGGTTCATTTGCATTCAAATGCCACTTCAATGCCAGTCAATGCCAGCAGGAATTACAATTCAAAGATGACAACGATACACGAAAAAGGGAAATCACTTTCAAATAAGTTATCAAACTTACGTTCTAAGTACGTTCTACTTTTTGCGTGCAGACATTCTGAGTCGTTGCCCGAAAACTTCACATTTTTGGTCTGAACAATAGAGGAGAGTTTAATTATTAATACAACACCCTCAGCGGATTCCCAGGGAGGATTTGGGCCACGAGTAAAAGTACTCAAAATTTTCCAGTTTTCTTTCGGCCACTCATTCTTTTTCATTTTCCTTATGCAGGAACACTGTGTGGTTGATTGGGTCCTAAAGGCACCTTTAACCTCCTGTTTTTCATAAATTCAGAGTAAAATTTATATATATATATATATATATATATATATACTGTATACTATCTATACAGTCTTACCTTTTCACTTTGTACCTTCTTGCCTCCCCCTCCCCCCCGCTCCCCCATTCACTCACTCTCATATTTCCCATCAATCACTCTTTTTCAATCTATTTTCTTGGCACACTCTGTAGGTCTTTCCCTCTTGCTCTTTTATAGCCTAAGAAGGTCTTACTGCATCTCACTCACACACACACACACACACACACACACAGGGCAGTGAGGCGTTCCCTTTGCTGGATTGTAATCAGACTCTCCTCCACATAGCTGTGTTTCACACATACACACGGAATAAACACAATACACACACACACACACACTGAACTATGTCACAATTGACCTCCTTTGACTCTGGTGGCATTTTTAACGTGACCTTCCAGCACTCGATTCCTCATTTGTCCGAAAAGGGACATGAAAGCTTTATTTTTTTCATCTCTCACTAACAAGTAAGTAAGTAAGTTGACTCTTGGCCAAGTCGATTCTAGTTGGCTACCGAGACAAACTACCAAACACGTGCATCTACAGATATTAAAAAGAAAGCTTGATTTACGTTTTTTATTCCTTCCTGTTGCAAAGAGGATGCTGCTACGAGTCTTCCCGCCTCTTCTCTGTGTGTTTGTCATCTTTAGACTTCCCTGTGATGAGTGTACATATATTTTAATTTCTCTTGGGAGAAAGTGATTGGAAGGTCGATATTACAAATCAAACTACTTTTGTTTAAAGATATTTCGCGAAGCTTTTCTAGGCTGCGGGAAAGTTTTTCAAATGTAAAATGTTCATGACTTAAAATAGGTGGTGTCCAGAGGACCGGTTGTTATAATGCATACCGTTTTCATCTGGTTTGGGGACCTTTGTTGGATGTCAGCCCCCCCTCCTCCTCCTCCTCTCCCCGCATTTCCTGTCTCCCATATATATATATATATATATATATATATGCACACACACACACACACACACACACACACACACATACACTCTATGTCCCTAACACACAAATGCACAAAACCCTCCTGTGCCTCTCGCTCAGCCGTTGGCAATCATTGCCTCAACATCCCTCCTCTGGTCTCCTTTTCCTCTTGCTGTTTCTCCTCTCCTTCTCTCACACACACACACACACGACGTGTGCCTGGAATGCAGCTGTCTACCTTGAAATTCCTCTCACTCACACACACCCTCCCTGCCTCCCTCCCTCCGTCCCTCTTTGTTGGGCTCAGTTCCCTCCAGAAGCTGCAGGCAGACAAAGGAATGATAGATTTCATCTTGACTGCGACGTCGCACTCGTGTGTGTGTGTGTGTGTCTTTGTGGTGCAGGGGTGTCGCCCCCAACGTGCACGGCTGTTTTCCCTGCCGTCCGTCTGTCTCTCCGTTCCTCCCGAGCCTCCTCCGGTAGCATTTATCCATTAGCACCCGGTGGGCAACAGCGCAGAGTTCTAAAGGATCCGTGGCCGCACTGGGCGCCGAAACGCACACAATCGCCCACTTAACCCTCCGTCAAGTGTTCGCTCCTCCACTGGTGGAATGGGCGAGGGAGAGCGTGTTACAGATGCGTTGTAACCGAACGTCGGCAGAGAGCGTTTGAGATGGGGAGCGGTGAATCGGGATCGTGTGTTAATGGGCACGCTGGCTCTTTGTGTGCGACACACAGAGGGCATTTCTCCATGGCTGATGCTGCTTAGAAAATAAACCTCCCAGAGAGACGGGGTCTGCACTTCCTGTACAGTGGGAATGTTTGGGTGGGGGTTGGGGGGGGGGCTCCTCTGTGACCTTTCTGACCTTCCCGGGAGGGGGAGTGAACAGGAAACTCAATACCCCCTCCTGCCCCCTCCCTCCTGGGCCTTATTTAGGTCTAAGCAAGATTTTTGCAGACTGTTGTCTCGTCTCACTGCTGCCATCCAATAACACACCCACACTCTGAAGGTCTGTGTGCATTGAGACATAATGTCGCACGTTGTGTAACGATAAGTCGAGCTCTGCGGAAGCACTTTGTGAACCTGTTTCTCTTATTTGCACTCATTAAGTCTCCGCTGCCCTCCAGGCTGCAACATCGGAGAGAAAAGGGGGCGTCCTTTCTGCGTGGGTCCCCAGGGACCACCATGGAGACACAATCTAAATAAACCTTCTCTAATTCCTTTTTTTTTTTAAGATTTCAGTGAGCAGTAAGGATAGCAGGTTAAAAAGTGAGAACATAGTAAAAAAAAAAAAAAGCACAGCTAGAAGCTGAAGCGTACATATCACAGTGTAAAGGTGGACCCCCACTTCACCGGCTGATTGAAGGCATGAAACTAAAGAACAGCACTGTCCCTGTAAAGCCTTCCTTATTCAATCTTTAAAAAGCAAAAGCGGCACGTGTATACTTTCAGTATACCTCCAGGGGCTAGCGTAGCATAGAAGCCAAAGGTTTTGATGTTGGAAGGTGATGTTTTAGAAAAGTACATCTCCTTCCAACCTCTCAGGGTGACGCGTATCCCTGTAGCAGAATATCTGAACCATGACTGGCTTAAAATCCGCTAAACCTGCGTGAAAATGATCCTGGTTTGAGCCGCCCAACGCCGCGCTGTGATTGGACAATCTGCGTTTTGTAGATGGGTCGTTCAGTCTGGTATAAATGCCTTTTGCCCTTTTCAGGAAGCACTGAACTTCACGTGACGGGGCAGAGATCAGGCGTCACGCTCCAAACATTCACCAGAAGTGTTCACTGTAACACTAGACAGACTTGAGTTGGACCAATCAGTAGGTCGGGCCAGGCAACAGGAAACTGCATATAATGTGTTTATGGTGTTAATAAACAAAGAGTAAGGTGTTCTTATCAAACACTGTTGTTTATACTACATGGTACCAGTCTTGTGACATAAGCTGTCAATTAAAAGCTGGAATTCGATCACGTAAACAAACGTCAGAGTTGAAGATTGCGTAGGTCAGATCCACTCGGTCAGTACAACAACAAAGCCATGACCTAATATACCTTCAGTGGAAATTAGATCCGGCAAAAAAAATCCTTTGTTTAGTTTTTAGTGTATACTTGGATTCTCATTCTTTTAATTCATATCTGCCATTTTCTGTCACATAATCAATGCCCCCCCCCAGCCCGTTCCGGCAGGAAATAGAGGGCAGGAAATAGCATCTGGTGCATGTGGGAAGTGGTCTGTGTCCATGACAGGATGCACAGGGCCATTGACTGGCAGCCAACCCGTCCGATTTCAACGTCCTCACTGGGATGCAGGGAAGAATAGAAAAATGGCAGGAAGAGGCCTGTTAAAGCCTCCGTCTCTGCCACTGTATTATCAACAGATCAAACATGTCTGAAACCTTTCCGAGGAATCGGGAGTGGTCACAAGGGCCCTATTTTTTTATTTATTTTTTGCCGTGGCAGTATAATTGCTCCAGGCAGCTTCCGTGTAAGTCAACAATTGTCTAGTGAGACATTTTACCAGCTGCAGCCTGGGTTGGTCGGCATTTGTGCTGGTGGCTGGAAAGTTCCCAGCTGACCTTGCTTCCTACCTCTTTTTTATAGTGCATTTTGTTGTGCGCCCTTTTTGCGCTGCAGTGATCTTGAGTTACACACACGCGCACACACACGCGCACACACAGGCCTCAGTCTTTATTCAAAACAATGACCTAGCTTCCTGCAGACACACACACACACACTCAGTCTTATGACAGGGTATGACTGCGGCGGAGTGGATGTATGACTCGTTTGAGTGAGAGAGGGCAAACGCCATGTCTCATGTGCCTGTTGTTTTTCTGAGCTGTTGTTGAGTCTGTTGCAATTTGTTGTGGCAACTAAAAGCTCACCCGGCTCCCTTTGGCTTATCGGGCGAATACACACAGTCAGCACAAGTGCTTTTTAAAGTCCAGATTGAATTGTTCCTGTTTTTGTACGTTTGTCCAAACAAGATCGTTAAAAATGTTTATCCGTCGGCCATTTTATTTTGTGTTGCAAATCCGGCGTGCCAGACCGACGGCCCTGATTTGGCCGCGTCAACGATAGACAATGGTGTAAAACACTGTTATTTAAAGAATCAAATGAACATGGAGCAACTCCGTACACGTTTAAATCAAACACAAGCAAACATTTCTTTAAAGAACAGCAACTAATTTGGGCAGCAGAGTGTCATTAGAACAACATGTCATATTTGTCACACGCAACTCATTTAATGCGAATCCATCCTGTGGGACACGCACGGAGGCGAGTTGCGTGATTACACAGTGCGGCGTTATCGGCATGCACGGCCCCTCCCTGCCGTTGGCCGTTTTATTTATT